TGTTTACAATATGGACAATGAGGTAAACGACCAATAACACAGTCTGTTTTCGGATCTATATTAAATTTTAATGAATCCTTTGTATCCACTAAACGTTTACGACATTTATTAATACATTGCATATAATGAATTGAACCATAGCATTCAACAAGTGCAGATGGATTCCAGCCGGATTTTAACCAATGTCCACCGATATTACCCGTAAAATTAAATGAATATTTTATATGATCCATTTCACTCCATTGTTTGACAATTTGATAACCAAAATGTGGAGTAATTGAATTATAAGTATTATATCGATAGGCCCAAAAAGCATAGCTAAAATTAGCTGTATTATGCTTATCACTATTACCTTCGGCCTTTCTAAACCATTGTGCATTATTCATACGAGTAAAATCTAATTCTGGATATTTCAATAAAGTTGGCCAAATCTCAGTTGAAATATCTTTATTTATATCAGATTCATTACTTAAGATCCATCCAGTACCACTAGTGAATAAAATGGCTTCAGAATTAAGTATTAATTCAGCTGCTTTATCAATACATGCTTCCATTTCACCGACAATCGTTGGTTGAGTATCCATTTTGACGCCTGTTGATGGATTAGCTATATATAATATCTAGAAATAAAATCGAAAAAAAAATTAGTGTATATTATTCCGTTTATCTTACAATAAACGCAAGTAACTTTAAATTTTCTTCTACCTTTAGAATGAAAGAATAATTGTTTTCATTGTTGTTATATGATGTTTTGAACAAAATTAATTTAGAGAAAAGAAAACAGTTTTTTTTCATTAGAAAATAGAAGATGAAATACAAATATATGCTCATATCGCTTCGTGCACTGATGAATAAGACGACAAAGCAATCGTAGTTATGCACAAAAATAAACTTTTTTTTGTGATTTTACATACTAATTTTCTTGTTCCTTCAGTTTCCTCGATTCTGTAAATGCACACAATTTGGCAACAAGTAATACAACGAGAAAAAAATTTAGTTGACGTTTATCAAACGTTGACAGTTGCTTAAATCAAAATATGTTTTATAGATAATCTTTTGAGTAATTAGATACAATGTCATCTAAACTGACTAATATTTAAACTTTGAAGATGCAGAAAATAAAAAAACATTGTTTTCATGTGATGAAAATTTATTTTGTCTATATACGTTAGCGCTGTTACTTTAACTTCACTTAATCTTCATTTTTACAAATAAAGATTATCTTTATTCTTTATAAAATAAAGATGACGTAAATTTTTGTTCATAAAATAAAGATAAAGATAATCTTCATTTGTAAGAATAAAGTTAAAATAAAACATAATTTCATCAATCATTCACTCTTTATAAAACTTGATGAATACGATAATAACGATTTTCTCAACACTTTTCTGATTTTGTATTAAACCCTTTTTTTTGGACAAAAAATATTTCTACACGACAAAATAATTTTTAATTGACATAACTTGTTGTAGTTTACAAGAATTATTCTTTATTATAACAAAACATATCAATAAAATAACAACCCAAATGTACGTTTTTTAAAATAATAAGGCCTAGTATCAGTTGAGATGTATGATTCTCAAAGGTTTAAATCGTAATTCAATTTATTGATTAAAAAAATGAGTTTTATTATTAAAATTAACAGTGATAAAGCAATAGTAAAAATGAATTACAAAACTTTAGGCAATTCGTACAAATCCAGTTGCATCTAATCGATAGACGCCTGAACCAATTCGAAGTGTATCACTAACTTTTAAACTTCCCAATGATTCGACGTCTGAGTCAAGTGTATGTAAAGAACCACCGGTTTTATAAGCCACATCTAATAATTTTGGATTTACAAGTGAACCAGCTGGGTGTGAGTGTGGGTGTGGGTCTGGGCAAGGGGTAAACAACGGAGACTTCGTGCTTAGAGTCTCATGAAGTCATTTGAAATCTCGCGAAGTTATCTAGAATTTCTACGGATGCATTTATTTCATGAGGAGACGATGGAGAAACAACAGAGACTTTACGCATGAAGTCTTTCGAAATCTTTGAAGTCCGCTTTTTCCCCGTTGAGGTCTGGATATGGGTGAGAGTGTAGGTGTAGGTAAGTAACATATATATTAAAAATCCACATCCACACTTTTTTTTACAAAAAAAAACTTTCTTTATAAGGGTTGACCGAAGGACTATCAAGATCGAGGAACTCAAATCTGAAGTCAATTTTTTGAAATTATTTGAATTTTTCTCTAGGAACTTGTGAGGTTCTCGTTGAGGGGATGTAGATTGACTCCAGCTATGAATAAAATCGTGAGTCGAATGGTGAACTAGATAGTCGAGATCACTAAACTGTTACGAGAAAACTCACTACGAAAAATGCCTATCGTAACTTGAGAATATAGATGAATAGAAAACGAGGATGAATATGATAATTTTATTGATGACAATCGATAAAATATAACAACAAACGAAGAATAACACAGGCAACAAACACAAGGAGGATCAGGAGAGATAAAAAATAACAACTACTGAATATACATAACTATAAATACATATATATATATATATATTCAAAAACACGGAAAAAGAAAAAAGAAAGAAAGTTTCATGATGATCAATATATATGGATCATTACTAGAAGAAAACAAAAAAATAATATATATATATACACGTTAGCGTCATGAATTCCATCTATGGACGCCAACAGAACTGTAGCCTAGATTCCAATTTCTTTACAATCGCAGCTCTAATTAGAACGTTCAGATCATCCACAAAAATAGAAGTAAAAAAAGCGCCTGTACATTCTACGAGACCAGAATGAAAAATGATAAAAATATAAGGACTCAGAGCACTTCGTTGAGGTAGTCCTATGAAAATTTTAAACTGTTTAGTGTTAATATCACCATAGGCGATAAAAACGGAACGTGGGGATAGCCACAACCATATCATTTTCAATAATTCCTTTGGCATGCTACGACGATTTAGCTTTACTATTAAAGCTGCATGCCACACTTTATCATAAGCCTTCTGATAATCTATATATATTGACGCGGTTGGTATATTGGCCGCCAAATTATTTTGTATTTCTTGATAGATGGATAGCATCCTTGTTGGAATTAACCAATTCTGTCTAAAACCTGATTGTTCTACTGTAATAATACTATTCGCTTCTGACTAATTACGAATCCGTACTAGCAAAAGCTTGTGAATCCATACATCGATATAACATTTTTAAAGTATCTCGAATATGATCTGTTGATATTAAATTATATTCTTCCTAAATAATACAAATTAATTTGATAAATTGTAGAAATCTAATATTCTTACAATATAATTTCGAAGTTCAATTAATATATCGAGTAGAAAATCAATAACATCGCCAGCATTTTTTACCTGAGTTTTAAATGCAATCCAGTCATAGAATATTGATCAACAATTTATATTTTCACACGAAAAGACCAAATAGAGAACGATAGACAGATGGAATCTATAGAAGAAAACTATTTAGTTTTGGTTATTTCTTAAGGGATATTCTGAGCACTGAATTCATAATACTTACGTGAATGAACTGTTTAATTCAAAGTTCTGTCGAATTATAATCATAATTGACGTGAGAATTTCATCTTTTATTGATCTTAATGTACTCAAATCCGTTATTGTTACTAGTTGGTGGTAAAGATCATTTGCGGCTTTCTAAATTTCTTCAGCAGCTATTTCCCAGGTCGAACAATCCAGCACGGAAATGGCCGGTTGCATGGCATTCCGAAGATTTCATGGAATCCTGCGTCAGGAACCATCGTCCTGGGTTCTTCGCAATTACGTTCATTTATCAAATGATCGATTACTTTATTTTTAACTGAAGCTGATGCCATCAGTTTGAAATTCAATTCGAGAAAATATCTAAAATTCAATATTATTGTTATTATTATAGTTTTAAGACTAATATGCATCTTCATTTTCGACATGCTCATAATAAAAAGTTTTTATATATTTATCGTATACTTAAGAGAATACAATTAGTTTGTTGAACACATAGAATGAATGTGTCTCATGACATGTCGGTCCAGCTATCTAGCTTCAAATACCAAAAATGATGTGCATAGTATTATTTCTATAGGTGTCACTAGAGCAAATGGTATCAACAATAGAACCGTACCAACAATGGTTCACTTTTTAACATTTGTAAAAATATATGAGAATCTAGAAATAAGAAAAGTATACGAGTCTTAATTATTCTGAATACTGGGTACTTCAACTCGTGTAATGATTATCATTGGATAATAAGTATACTTTTTTTTATCTTTTCCTGCTTCTTATAAAGAGAAACGAATTGTGCATTTGAGCATATCACCATAACGAGAGGAAGAGAATGAGACTTCTCTTTCAACATATTCACTTCTAATACAGACTACTAACCACATAAATATGAGCAACATAAGCGTTCAAACTATCTCTCCCCCGTTTAATGGGTCAAAGACCAAATTTGGACTATTCTTATTTGGTCAACTGGTATCGATTCCCTGTTACTTTTTCGTAATTTTTCATCTAGTGAGTAAACGAGCTGCACGCAGAGTTCTTTACAATCATGCCGTTATTGTCATGCTACTGTTCAACTTTACTTACCTTATAGTAGGTTCGTCAATGCAACTGGACTTTTTTAGACTAGGATTTATAACACAAATAACTCCAGCTTTTTGTTTGATAAATCAATTTGTATATTATGGAATTTGGTATGGTGCTATGTTCTCACTGGCATGGCTATCGATCGAGCGACATATTCTAATATTTCATTCAATTCGAGTTGCTACAGCGCGTGGACGTTTATTATTTCACTATATACCACTTATATTATTTTCTCTCTATGCACCAATTTTCTATGTTTATTTGATCTTTTTTTATCCTTGTGAGCGTATTTACGATGGCACTATGATTCAATGTGGAGATGCCTGTTTTACGGGTTCTATATCTAATTCATTCAAACAGTATATATTAATTGCTCATGATTTTATGCCAATCGTGATTATTATCGTCTCTAGTGCTGCTCTTCTTCTTCGTGTTATTATACAAAAACGTCGTTTACGGCAAGTTAATGAATGGCGTAAATTTCGAAAAATGATTACACAATTTATTCTCATCTCCGGTACATTTGTTATCTTTTATCTTCCTTATACTGTTATTTATTTCGTTAAAGCTTTGGGATTTTCTAGTTTTGGCAACAATGTCATCACATATTTTGTACCTCTAACAAACGTTCCATTTATGGCTTTGCCCTATGCTACTATTATAACACTGCCGGGATTAAGAAAAAAACTTTGTGCATTGATCATCTGTAAACCGAAGCAAAATACTATCCGCCCAGTAGTTATCAAGAACTAATCATCTTTGAACTAATTGAAACATTCACCAAAATATATAATACTAGTCATTCAAGAAATGCAATAAATTCATGTAATTTTTAAAGTGTTTGCTTTATTGTATCAAATTTCTTTGTCCATATGCGTATATAATGTTGTTTTTGTAACTCTGTTGTCATTTATCATTCAAATTGTTTAACCATTTAATCTTTTCATTCGAATAAATATCATAAATGTATCAGATATATATCTTAATAAACAAAAGTGCTATTCGAAATTAGTTACCTTTAAAAACTCAAATGATAGCTAACTATTACTCAGTGTTAACTGCTGTGAGTTCATCATGGAAATTCTCTGAAAGAAATCTTTCTATATCCTTAATATTAATACATTATATCAGCAGACTAAAATAGAAGTTGTTGCTAATTATTAGATGTTCTGAAAAGTATATGGATATGGATTCAATATTATATGTCTCTGTAGAACTTATCAATTAGTTAATATATAGAGCGTACAGATTTTTTATCAGTTTAATCAAGTACTATGAACGGTTAGTTTTTTCTCCGCAAAAGTAAGAATTGTGTTCGACCATTCTAAAATATTCGGATCATCTTGAAATTTGTTATAATATAATTAAAAAGTGGAAAAAAAACATTTCTGTTAATCTCTTTTTATGAAAATCTAAACTTATCATTGTATATTATTTCAAAATATATTAGCAATCATATGTCACAAAATTTAATTTCATGTGTATCTTTTTTGTTCACTCATTGGTATAATTTTTTATCAAAGATTAATGCAGAATAATTTATGTCAGAAAAACCTTGATTTAGCTATTTTATTTGTTTGGGGTCAAATGAGAACTTTAGAAAGCATGATTTTGTATGAAAAAAAGGTTCATGCACGAATGATTACTTCCACTTATTATATAAAAATTACTATATATACTCTATTTGTCGCGTCAGTTTGTGCTGATAAGCGAGTCTTCAAACATGATCGAATCACATTTTGAAGTCTATTACTAATTGATGTTGCTCAAATGATATAATTAGAAAAGAATGAACGTCATTTATATATAAATGATAGGTAAAAAAACGTTGTTCTCAAGGACGACGCTGTGAATGTTACAAGTAAACTCGCATGCCTTTTCTTGATATACATCCATATCCATATCTATCATTATGATAGTAATTAAATCTGACAATATTCTTCAATAATAATAATGATGTAAAACTTAAATGAAATAGAGTATAATGACAAAAAAAACTGAAGTACTAATAAGATTTTTTAGCAGATATATAAGCAAGTCTGTTTGCGCACGAGTTATATTCTGGAAGCACGCCATTTTCATCAAAGTATAGAATTTTATATTCCTAGAGTATAAGCACAGGGTTCAGAAATTGGAATTGATTCGGTCTATCGATCTTCTTTCATTGATAATATAATGAAGACATCGAATTTTCAAGATAAATAATCATATATACAATGAATGCAAAATAATTCGTTTATCTTGCTTTCTTATTTTATCTAATTAAATAAGTTAAAGAAAATCAAAAATTAAAGCTTGGATGTTTAAATTTTAGGAAGTCTCTGTAGTAAATAAATCGTTTCATAAATCGAAGAAATGAATATCAATAAAAAAAGTGCAGATGGACAAATAATTTTTGGACTCACTTTACATCAATTAATAGACAAAAATTAAATCAAAATGAATATTTTATTGTTAAAAATTGATTATTTAGCTTTAATAAACAAAAAAATATTTTAATTTTATCTCCATCATTGTCTGACAAATGATATATATATATATACTTTTAATAAAATCTTGTGAAGAAAGATTATATTGAAAATCATGTCCAATTGTAAATGAATGTGAAGCATTTTTTCTTGCAATTGTAATTATAATTTGTCTATGTATCGATGAAATAACATCAAATAATTGATGATTTGAATCTTTTCTTGACATAAATGCATTTTGTGGTAACGTACAACGAAAATAAAAATAAGCATTTTTATTTAAATTTCGATTTTCAACAAGTAAAATAAGTCCATCCCAATATTTTTTTAATTCATAAATTTTTACACCATCATCACCTTCATTTTTTGTTTGATTTCCAATTGAAACTTGTTCACCATAAAATATACAAAGTTTTATTAAAAATTCTCGTTGAAGTCTATAGAATTTTAATAAGTTCGGGATCAATTGAACGAGAACTATGTACAGCTAAAAACTTAATATTTTAAAAATGCAGTATTATCTATTTGTTTATTTATTGGATTATATAATAATGATAAAATTATATAAGTACTTGGTTGAAGATAACCATCAGTTGAAACGAATTTATGTTGACCATGTTGATTTAAAATAGAAATTGAATAAATTCTATAATATTTATTTGTTTGTTCTTCAATATTAACAATTGCGATACAAAGACTAACTTCACTTCGTTGTATTTGAAGATTTTCCTATTGCTTAGAAATATTCCAAAATATTACTTATTAGTTTAAATTTCATTATCAGGGTTATTGATTACAATCTTGAGTCTGTGTTTTTATTTTATCTACATTATAGAAGTCTCCAATGAACTTTTGTTGATATGAACAATGACAAAGTGAATCGAAACACAAAGAAAAAAGAGAAAGAGAAACAATCGGTTATGGTGATGAATATGTCATCATCATTGATTCATCATCAAAATCATGTTCACGATCAATCAGATTTCTTGAATTTAAACCACCATCTATTTGTCCAGACAATAATCGAACATTAACTGATTTTTGTAAAACTTCTTCAGCAAAAAATTGGGCCATATAAATACGCATTGGATCAATGCCAAGAAGATTCACAAATAAATTGATGATCTATTAGATATTTAAAAAAAAATATGAAGAAAATCTAATTCTTTTTTTATAAATTAAAAAAAACCTTATCATGAATATGTGAATTATTCGTTCCATGACAAAACATTTTTGATGCTGCAAGAATTGTTGCTGAACCAAGTAATAATGGATCACGTAATCGTTGAGTAACACTTTCCCTATTATCAATCAACAAAAAGAAAAAGGTATATTCTTCTCATTAAAAATCTCAATAAAATCCTCATACATTTGTATTTTATTGACTGTTGATAATCCACTTTCATTTTTTGCTAAAAGTTCGATTAATGATGTCCATTTTAAATAAATATGAACAAGTAAAAGCATTGATCCATCATATAATCGATCATTAACTATTTTCATTTCATCATCTAAATATTTTTTTACTTTTTTTTTTCAAAAAAAGAAAATAAATAAACAAACTGAGAAATCGAAGAAAATAACAAATAAACATATGTGGAGTAAATTGAGGAAATCTATGATCAATTGTTGTTAATATATCAATTTCAGTTTCATTTAATTGTTCACGAGTTAATCGTATTGTTGTTAGATTTGAGTCCATACGTGCAAGTTCATTAAAATATTCGATCAAACGAGATGTATCAATTGATCGATCCTACATAAATAACAACAAAATTTTCATTATTATTCGATAGAATAATTAAAACAATAACAACACATACACATATTTGTGTTGCAAGTTGAAAACAAGCAGTAGCAATCAAATATTTATCTCTAACATATTTTTCTTTTATTAATTCGTATTGATTTTGAAATTGATTTGAATCTTTAGAAATTGAACTACAAGCTTTGATCATTGAACAAACCAAATATCTTTGAAAAAAAAGAAACAAAGTATACTAATGTTTAGAAAGAAAATATTTTGAGAGAGACTTATTCAATAATTCAACTGAAGTAAAAAATACATGATCATCAAATTCAACTTGATATGTTAACATATAAAAGAATGAAGTCATTATTTTATTACAAAACTAAAAATAGAGGAAATATAAAAGTAAAACTTCAAATAAGAAAAAAGAACTTGTTTTACTGAAAGTGATCGATGAGAATTAAGTTTATAATCATTCTTACAATTTGTAATAAATAGTTTTAAATATTCACATTCAATCATTATTAAATAACAACAAAATAATATCTAACGACGATTTGAAATTTCGCACATTTTTTTTCTTGAAGATAAATTTTCTTGATCATTTATGCAAAATGTCAACTAGTGACAAATTAAATTATCAGGTATTCGATAAGATCTTTTAACCAATCACTGTTCAATTTCAATACATGAACATCAATTCCGTTCGCATTTGCAACATGAATAAGACACAATAAGAATGTGAATATTGAGAAACTCTATGATTCTGATTAAATGAAATAATTGACTCTATTATTATTCTGCTTATACTTCATACAATTTTCAATACTAAATTTCATGTCTAGAATATCTTTTGATGAATATAATACTGTCATGCATCTATTTTCACACGCACATTCACCCGTAAGTATGGTTAAATGGTAATAGATATAATACTAAAATATATTTTTTTATTGCTAATCATTTATTTTTAAAAGATAAATTTTTCTAAAGCTATCTCATAAAGTTAAAATAGAAATAAATAGTTATTTGAATGCATTTAACATATCAAGAACAAAGCGATATTTCACATCGGATTTGACTGTTCGATCATAAGCTGTTTTAATTGTTTCTGGCGTTGCTTGAATCTTTTCAATATCACATACAATATTATGTTTACCACAAAAATCAAGCATTTCTTGAGTTTCTTTCATTCCACCAATATTACTTCCAGTAATTATTGGTCGTTTCATTATAAGTGGAAATGCTCCAATTTCAAGTGGTTTAGGTGGTGCTCCAACTCTAAAAATATGAAATAGATTAATGAATGTGTACATAATATATATATAACAAATAATACATACAAACAATATACTCCTTCAAATTTCAATAAGTCAATCAAAGCATTAACATCATGAGGGGCTGATACGGTATCAATAATTAAATCTAATGAATTTGCAGCTGTTTTCATTTGTTCTTTATCTTTTGAAACAAGAAATGCTTTAGCACCAAGTTTGATTGCATCATTACGTTTCGATTCAGAAGTTGAAATGACAGTAACATGAGCACCCATAGCTGCACCGAGTTTAACTCCCATATGACCTAAACCACCAAGACCAACAACTCTAAAATAATGATATTAATAATCGATATAATTAAGAATAATGCTAAATCAATACCCTATTCTTGAATCTTTTCCAACATTGTATTGTCGTAATGGTGAATAAGTTGTAATACCTGCACAAAGTAATGGTGCTGCTGCATCTAATGGTAAATTATTTGGAATTTTGCAAACAAAATGTTCTTTAACAGTAACTAAATTGGAATAACCTATAATAAACAATAGAAAATAAATGAATACAATATTTATATAACAATGGATTTACCTCCATGTGTTGGTGTTACTTTGTCAAGTTCAGTACTTCCATATGTATAACAGACGTCAGGACAATGTTGTTCTTTGTGTTTTTTACCTAAATATTTTGAACAATAAAAAAAGATAAGTGATAAAATTGACTATAACATACAAGGCTCGCATTTGAGACATGTATCAACAACACAACCAACACCAACATGATCACCTACACTAAAATGTTTGACACTTGAACCGACTTGTTCAACAACACCAGTGATTTCATGACCTGGTACTAATGGATATGTTTCTTTTTTCCATTCGTTATACACATGATGGATATCTGAATGACAAATACCACAATAATGAATACGAATGACAACATCATCGACTCGAGGTGTTCGTCGTTCGAAATCAAATACTTTGAATGGAGAATCATCAGCAAAAACAGCATATGCTTTAGCAGGAATTGTATTATTTCTAAACAAAGTAGAAAATATTATTATCTTTAAGCATTCAGTTTGATCAATCTTTTTTTTTAAGTTCTCTCACAAACTCTTTATTTGATAGTATATATACTTACTGTGCTGGAGACATTATTTAAATAACGATGAAGTGTATTGAAGTTGTTATATAGATATTGTTAAGAAGAGTGACTTTTCTTCGACGATACAACACTATTTATATCTAATTTTTGCATCGTCACCGTGCATGTTATTCTCTATATTTGTCTATCACATAGCTTTTTCTTTTCTCTTTCTATCCACATCTATGGTTGAAAGGTTATATATTTGCATCGTGTCAAGCGATTCTCTCTGAATCTAAAAGGGACAATGAGGACATTTACATAGTATAAATGGAAGAAAAAGTATGCACTTCTAGTACGTCTAGCGGAATGTACGTTTTCGTACGAGAAGAACATATGAAATGTTACTTTTAAAAATAAAACTGCTTTATTTTATCATGATATTGTACATTGTATCCATATCAATATTTCTCAAAACAAAAGTTGCTTAAAATCTCAAATAACAGTCGACAAAATTGTGTACTTTCATATGATAGTTTTAAATAATTGATTCGATACTTTAGAATAGATTGCAATGTACCTGACATATCATGATTTATCATTCAGTTTCATATTTTCAGAAAATATCAGCATTTGAAGTATATGAAGTTTAAAATAGAAAAATTGTCTTTACTGTTTATCATCGTTTAGGATATTCTACCTAACAAAATGTTATAAAATAAGACATAGTTTTGCAAAGAAATCATTCAACTTTTTAATTTATTAAAAAAATAAATAAAAAAATAAATAGAAAATATAAAAATAAAATTCGAAATAAATAATTTCTAACGATGTAAAATTTTCTTGATCATTTATGTCAAATGCCATCTAGTGACAAGTGGATGCTCATTCGAGAAAATGTTTTAACCAATCAGAAGACGTTATTGTTTACTACATAAACTGAATCCTGTTTGGCTCATGCATTCATTTCTTTATTCTGACACAACGAGTAAGTCATATTCAACGATTTTTTGTCTTAAACCACACTCTTTTTCACATTTAGACTTTTTATTCAGCGACAATCATGAGCGATACTGAAGATGTACGTTATTATTTGCCTGAAACATTTATTTTTAGTGGTGTTTTTTGTTTTGTTTATGACAGCGTAAAGGAAAACGAAAAGTATCTGATGACGAAGATGAAGAAGTTGACGAAGAAGAAGATGAAGAAGAACAAGAAGATGACGAAGTGAGATTTCGATTATTTTACTTACTAAATATTTTTATGTTTCTCTTATAGGACGAAGATGATGAAGACGAAGAGGTATATTTTTATTCTGAAAAATGTGGGAATCTATACTCTTCTGTTATGACATGATAAATATCGTTGATGTGAAGATATAAAATCAGTAGACCTCGAACATTTTAAATACTAACAGAATATTTTTTCTCATACCAAAGCTTTCAAAGTCTACTGATTCATATCATCGATATTTACATTGATCAACAAAGAGATAGAATAAAACTCGTAAATAAAATATTGATTTTGAAATAACAATTTAGGATGATGATGATGAAAGTTCAAGTCGAAGAAAGAGAGAAGGTCATCAACAAAAACGAAAGAAGAAAAAAATATCTGGAAAACAATTTATTATTGCTGAAGCTGGTTTGATAGAATTGTTATCTATTGATATTTATTTGAATTATTCTATTTATAGATGTCGACGAAGATGAAGAAGAAGAAGATGAAGGAGATGAACCTGAAGATGGTTTTGTTGAAACAGATATTCCCGATACAACAGCTGCAGATATGTATCGAGCTGGACGATCAAAATTTCCAATAGCACAAGAGTTTGTTCTATTTTTTGTTTTCAATATTTTTTTAACTTTTTTGATTTATATAGAGAAATGGATCCAGTTGAATTGGAAAAATATTTCAAAGACCGTTATGGTCGAAAAGATCCAAGAGGCCGTGGAGAACACGATGACGATTATGATGATGATCAAGTTCCTGATGAAATAACACAACAAAGTTTATTACCTGATGTTAAATCACCTAATCTATGGCCTGTTAAATGTCGAATTGGAGAAGAAAGACAGACAGCTTTATTATTGATGAGAAAATTTCTTGCATTAGAAAATGATGAAAAAGTAAATATAAATAATTCTCTCTATCGAGATAGAACATCGTCTAATTGAATAAGTATCCGTTAGGAGAAAATGTTAGATTTTATTCATTGAAATCTGTATATTTTTTCATCTAAAGGCATTACAAATAAAATCAGTTATTGTTAAAGAAGGTGATCGTGGTTATATTTATATTGAAGCATTTAAATCTAATCATGTCAAAGCAGCATGTGATGATATTCGTGCATTAAATGTTCAAAATCTTCAAATGGTTCCAATTAAAGGAATGACAGATATACTACGTGTTGTTAAAACAACTTATGGAATAAAAAAAGGTTCATGGGTACGTGTTAAACGTGGAATTTATCGAGATGATCTAGCTAAAGTTGAACAATGTGATATGGGACAAAATTTAGTGACACTTAAATTAATACCACGAATTGATTATGCAAAAAAACGTGGTGGACCACGTGGTGGTTCAAGCGATCAAAGTGGTATTGTACCTGAATCAAATCAACCATTTAAGAAAAAAAATCGTTTTGCATTTAAACGCCCACCACCAAAATTATTCGATGAAACAGCTGTCGAGTAAGGATTTCAAGAAATATTTATTTGTTTTTTTTATCGTGATCATTTCAGAGCTGCCGGTGGTCAAATTAAAAGAGATTATGAATATCGATCATTTGAAGGTGGAAAATATGATGAAAAAGGTTTTCTTATCAAAAACTTTCCATTACAAGCTGTTGTAAGTTGAGATTTTTAATAATAGAATATTCATTCTGTCTAGAAAATAGTCATAATTCTAATATACGAGAGAGATATTCAATGTAGTAGTATAATTACTTCTAATAGATTAAATTTTTAGTCAGCCGATGGTATAAATCCAAGTATAAGTGAATTAGATAAATTTGAAGAAACAATCGATGGACCTGAAAGCAATATTTCAATAAATAAATCAAAAGCATCAAAAAATGATCTGCTATCATTTGCACCAGGTGATCAAGTTGAAGTATGTGAAGGTGAATTAATTAATTTACAAGGTACAATTGTTGGTATTGATGGTGATTCAATTCGAATATTACCAAAACATGAAGCATTAAAAGATGAAATACCATTTAAAGCAAATGAATTAAGAAAATATTTTTCTGTTGGTAATCATGTTAAAGTTTTAAATGGACGATATGAAGGTGAAACTGGAATGATCGTTGGTATTGATGGAATTAAAGCTATTGTTTTAAGTGATGGTACTAAAGATGAAATGCCTGTTAGAACATCGGATCTTCAAATATGTAAAGAAACAGCAACTGGTGTTGATTCATCTGGACAATTTCAATTAAAAGATTTAGTTAATATTTCGTATGTTTATTTATTTATTTAGATTTAGAGAATAAATTTTATTTTATTTTTTTAGTGCAGATAAAGTTGGTGTTATTGTTCGAATTGAAAAAGAACGTTTACATGTATTAACTATGGATGGAAAGACTCAAGTTGTTCCAATACAATCAGTAACAAAAAGAAAAATTAATAGAAATGCAACTGCACTTGATTCACAAAATAATAATTTAAATTCTGGAGATATTGTCAATGTTGTTGATGGACCAAATTCAGTAAAATATTGTTTATAATAGATTTATTCATTTTCTTTTCTTTTAAAGAATCGTCAAGGACAAATTAAACATCTTTATCGTCATTTTGTTTTTATATTTTGTCGAACATTAACTGAAAATAGTGGTATATTTGTAGCAAAAGCAAGAAATCTATTATTAGCTGGTGGAACATCAAGAATTTCATCATCACCATCAATGCCAGTTAATGCTCCTTATATGTCACCGAGAACTATGGGAACACCATCACCACATACATCAACATCATCAGCTGGTGGAGGTAGTGGTGGTTCTTCATCAATACATTCTAATAGTCCATCAGCTGGTTCTCGAACACCAAATTCAGGTGGAGGTGGAGCAATGAAAGCACCGTTTTCCGCAGTTAATAATATTCGTCGTGATACGGCTTTAATTGGACAAACTGTTCGAATATCTCAAGGACCATATAAAGGTTATGTTGGTATTGTTAAAGATGCAACTGAATCAACATGTAAAATTGAACTTCATGCAAAATGTCAAACAATTACGGTTGATAGAAATCGTATTGTATCAACAACGTATGTTTTTATTCTAAAATATTACCGAATAGAAATATTGATGCATTCATTTAAACTTAGTCATAGATTTTTTTACAGTAAAAAAGATATTCTATTTGTTTCAAGAGTTTGTTAGAATCTCTTTTTCCGAATTTCTAGCATAAAATCAAAATCTCATTGTTAGTTTCAATAAACGAATTACTATAATAAATTTTGATTTATATATTTAGAAATGTTCCACGTCAACCAGGTGAAATGTCTCATTATTTTACAACACCACTTCATGGTTCACAAACACCATCATATGCTGCTTTTGGTTCACGTACACCTATGATTGGAAATCAAACACCAATGCATGATGGTTCACGAACACCCCATTATGGAAATATGGTTTGTCTATAAAAAAAATAAAACAAAAGGAAAAATTTCATTTATTTAGACACCTCGTCATGATGGTTCAATGACTCCACATGCTCATGGCGGTGCATCAGCATGGGATCCAACGTATGCAACAACACCTCGGTTAGTTTATCTATTTATTTATTTATTTGTTTATATCTATTATTTAATATAGAGTTGATTATGATGATGATGATGGTCCATCACCATTTGCAACATTAAATCCAACTACACCATCCTATAGTCATTTAACTGATTCATTATCAAGTGGTCTTGGAAATTCGAATTCAAACAATTCTTCATCAATTAATAATTCTTCATCATCAACAACGTTAGGTGTTAGTTCATTACTTAATTCAAGTGGTGGACCAACAAGTGTATCTTCAAATATTTCAGCTGGTGCTTATTCGCCATATTCAAATCATCCAACACCATCACCAGCTATGCAAATGGATTATCAACGTAATTTAAATTTAAATTTTTTAATAATAAATATATATTTTTGTATATTTAAAATAGCATATAGTTCTCATATTCCTACACCGGGAGCATCAGGTGGCGGTTTTTCTTCATCATCAAATAATAATGGTCCACCTGATCAATCTCCAGCTGGAAATTATGCTTATTCTCCGTCAATAAATATAACACCTGTGACACCAAGTGCACAATATGCACCAATGTCAACATCACTTGGTTTGTATATTTTTTAATATTTTTTTAATTGATTAAATATATAAATAAATAGATTTTGATTCCATCTCAAATAATGATTGGCATGTTGAAGGTTTATATGTTCGAATAAAAATAGCTATTGAAGATGAATCAATTCATGTTGGAATGATCGGAATTATTCAGAGTATATCTGTAAGTATTTATTAGTATTATTAATAATCTGAAAAAATATAAAATAAATCAAATTTTATCTTTAGAATGGTGTTTGTACTGTACATTTTCCTCAGCAAGATCGTCGTGCTGTTGTTCCACTTCATCATATGGAACCAGTAACACCGCTACAAAACGATAAGGTTAGTTTGATATTTTATTATTGATATATCTCGTTTTGTTGTTGTTGTTGTTTTATAGATTTATGTTATTGGTGGAGATAATAAAGGTGCCTCAGGCGACTTATTATCAGTTGATAATCAAGATGGAGTTGTTCGACTACACGATAATATTTCAGATGATGGTATATCGTTAATAAATCTGAAATATTTGTGCAAATGTACTTGATTCTCAGTTTATTTTTTTTTGTTGTGTCGTCTTCTCGTTTTTTTCTTTTTCCTCTTATTGCTTAAAAATATTCATCTAAAGGCAACAATAAAATTTGATTAGAATACTAATCTTTTATTATTCTAAATCAGATTGTATTATAACGACCATCTACTATTGAAAAGAACATATTTACTTTTTTTTTTGTATTCTTTCTTTTTCAATTGAGATAAGTTAAGTGTATGTGACTTATTATTCATCAGACAATAAATTTAAATTTAGCAAAAATACTCTTTAATTCAAAATATTCTGTTGTAAAAGATTGGGGAAGTAGCCATTGGCTGAATGACTTTTCGTCGAATGAAGTGTTCGTTGGAGATTTTTCGTTGAAGGCTATTTTGTCGAAAAATCTTCGACGAAAAGTTATTCGACCAGTGGCGCCTTACCTTAAAGATTGTTGTGCCAATCCAAACGATGGCCTGTGTACGAAAGTGCCACATTATACACAGGCCATCGTTTGGATTGACACAATTCTAATGCGAACATTGTTGAATATTGCTTATACTATAATATCATTTTAGGTATATACTATTTAGTTTTGGAAAATTTATGATGAATAATCTATCAGTTTGTACATTTAATGTTCTTGCTCCATGTTATAAACGTTTATCATCTGAACGTGATCGTGAGAGTGCTTATAAATCTCAATGGCAAACACGTCATTTATCAATAATAGCATTACTTCAATCACTTCAAATTAATTTAATTTGTTTACAAGAATTTTGGTTAGATGAACCATCATTTATTGATTTATATGAATCTAAACTTTCATCAAAATATTCTTTTCATTACGTTCGACGCACACAAAATCTTGATGATGGTTTAGCAATACTTGTTGATAAAAGTCAATTTAAAGTTGTTGAAAAATGTGAACTTCTTTTACATGATATTGGTAATCGTGTTGGTCTTTTACTTAATCTTGAACATAATGGACAACGTTTATTAATAGTAAATATTCATTTAACATTTCCACATAATTCATTTGATCGTCGTTTGAGATTATCACAAATAAAAAAATTTCTTGAATTAATCCATGAATATCAAGTAAAACATAATCTTTTAAATAATTGTTCAATTATTCTTTGTGGAGATTTTAATTCATCATGGGAAAATGATCCTGTATATCAACTAGTGTTAGAACAACAATTACAATCATCTTATTTTATAGTTCATAAAAAAGAACCAGGAGTAACTCATTTAACACATCGAGATGAACAATTAGGTGTTGATTTTATTTTTTATCAATCAACTATTTTTCAACCTATTTCAAGTGAATTAATTCCACGTGGTTGTGATACACATTCATGGAATGATGAAAGTAAATGGAATTTAAGTGATCATCGTGCAATTCTTACTACATTCCAATTTAAAAATGATAAACAACAAACAAAAAATGATTTATAAATTTATTTTCTACTTAATATGAAAATATTTATATGTATGTTTTGTTGGTTTTACTTCTTAAATATGGAAAATAACACTTTATTAAAAAAAATTTATTTTGATTTGTATAAACTTTTTAAAAGTTGTCAAATCTTATTAATCTCGATTTTGTTGTTATCGTAATAAATGAAAACTAGTGAATATAAATTTTGAAAAGATCAACTCTCTTGTTTTATGATAAAACCAAGAAATTCAATTTAGATCTAATTACTTATTTAATTCAGATAGATACACCTTGAAATTTATCGACTAAAAATGATTGCTTATCAGAAAACTACATTTAGAATATTGACATCAATTGTTGTTTAAAATGAACTTTTTTTATTTCTTTGCAAGTACAGAGAATGATCAATTCTGTTTTAACAAGAACTGTAAAATATTATATGATTAAATTTCAAAATACTGAAATATTTGTTATCAGTTCTAACACATAAAGATAAAATAACATATAATTTATTTAATTTAATTTTAAAACAAGTTAATACTAATTCCATTTTATGGTTTGTAAATCAGATTGATTATTTTTTCTATTGAATGATTGATTAATATCAACAGATGTAAAGCATAACAATCGTGCTGCTTTCATCATTAATTGTTGATGTTGCATCTGAATTCGTGTTCGATTTTCCCAAAGTTTTTCAAATAATATTCGTTCTTGTTCATTTGGTTCACATAATGAAATAGTTGAATTTACTTCTTCTTCATCATGTTGTGATTGTTGCTGTGTTGATGACGATGGTGGTTGTTCAATAGATAATTTTTCTTTTGAAACTTCTTCTTTCTTTACAAGAGCAGAACTATTATTATTATTCAATTTATTTTCTCGATCTTGAGAAGAATTAAAATCTTGTATAGAAATTAATGATAAACCATTGCCCATATCTTTTGTTATTTGTTTATATGCATTATCTATAGAAATAAACATAAAAAAAAAAACAAATAAATATATATAAAATATACTCATTGAATAGATAAATATATTATTTAATTCAATTGAATACACATTTGTTGGTAAAGAATTGAAATCAATATAAATTTGCATTGGAATATCAGATTTACGAAGCTAAATAAAAAGAAATTAATACGAAAAAAAATGATTGAAAAATTTTTACAATTTTTTGCAAACTATTTCCAAATTGATAATGATCGTTCTCATGATGATATTGTCGTTTTCCTAATGTAACTGAACATTTCAATGTTTGAAATTGATATCGATATAATAATCGATGAGATAGTGATGGATATTGATCAGTTCGACGAAGGTAAGTTTTAAACCATCGAATTAATATGTGTGAAAAATCAATCTAAATTAAACATTTTGTTCATTTTTAAAATAGAAAAAATAACGAAGAAAATTTTAAACAAACCACGATATAAGCTGATTTAACTTCGTTAAATGATTGTTGTAATAAATCAAGTGCAGTAAGAATTTCATATCGAACTAATGGATGACTTACATTGAGTGAAATAACAACATTTCCTTAATAAATAAAACTAGAAATAATATACAATGAAATAGTATTTAAATCGATTACCTTGAATTGATGGTTGTTTTGTAAAACGTTTACAATATTTAAGTTTACATACAATAAGCCATTCTTTTGCATTAGTTAATGGAGCTACAAGTGCTTGAAGTGCAGCCCCAGATGTAATTAACAAATGTCTAATAATATAACAGAAAAGAGAATTCGATTTTGGTTTACACAAATTTGTTTTGTAAAAACTAACCTAGAAAATTGATTATTTGATTTTTGAAATATTCCAAGTCTTTTTCGATCCATATCATCAGCAAATACAATTACATCTTTAGGTATAATTAATTCTTTTTGTTTTGTTTCTTCTTGAGAAATATGATTATCATTGAATATTGCTTTTTGTTTTAATAAAATAATACCTGCTTTTGTATCTTTAAATTTCAATCCATTTGATCCTTGATCATTTTTAAGTAATTTTTCTGATGATAAATTTTCATTTTTAATCTGTTTAAATTGAAGTCTTTTGGAAAGTAATGATGGTTGACGAAGAAAATCAGATAGTTCAATAAGTTTCAATGGCAATTCTTCTTCCATTATTCGATTAGTTTTTCATAGAAATGAAAGATAGGTCAACGATGAAAATCGTTCGTGCATGAACATTTATTCAAGGAAAAAAGAAAGAAAAAGATACACATGATGCAAGAGAAATTATACAAACCATCATCGATAAATATCGATATGCATATATTTATATTCACCTTCAAAATAAAACCAAAAGAATAATTACAGATTGAACTATATGATAATAACACGCATGTTCTTTGTTCATAGAGAGTAAGTCAATAGTCGGCTTTTTTAACAAGGAAATATTTTATATACTTATGTAATTATCGAAATAAAAATCATACGAAAGAAATTATATGTAACATCCGATTTTTATGTCAATACAATTGTTAGATCAGATGATAAATCTCTACAAAGGTAAAATACGTATGGTAACAGTACTAATCAAAAACGAGACACTCTTAGTAATGACTGAAGATATATCTATTGATTAGTCTTTCTAATCTCAATGATTTTATCTCGATACATAGACATCGAATTAGTCAATCTCATCGAGTTTAACGTATAATTACAAATGTAATATATTTATATATCATAAATCAAATTATAATATAAATATTTTGAATTTATTTTAAGAATCATATGAAATATCTATTCAAAGTTTTATTCATTAATCACTTTTATATAGTAAATATTAAAAACCGATCAGATAAAAATCTAAACGAAAAGAGATGCAATAAGCGATACTATTTTCGAAACCTCTTGATTTAAGAATTCATCATTTATTTCATCCATCAAATTGTTCGTTACATGATGCAAGATTTGACAAATATAGTAAATGTGTCATTGTTTCTGTTGAATAATTACGTAAGTTTGTTATCATAAATGAAATATTTTACGGTGCACACGTGCAATTACACTTTCGATACTAACTATTTTATAAATTTATAAACAGTATGATCAGCATTTTTAGTCAACTCGATGTATTCGTCAAAATTTCTATTATATTTTAACTCAATTTATAAGAATTCGCAAACGAATCTAAATGTGTGAATAATTCTGATTGCATTAGATTTTATATGATTTCAGGTTAAAGTCAGTTTTAAGTGAAAAAAATTAGAATAACTTTATGATGTGCTTTCGTTGGAACTCGAGTTGAAAAGTCGAATTTTTTAAATGACCAAATACCAGATCAATTTTTGATGCTTATTTATAGAAAGATGAATTTTTATTTGAAGATTCTAAAACTATGATCGTTAAAAGAATTTTTCCAGTAAAGATCGATTTATCTTCCATCAATGATTGCAGTGAAACAATTCTTTTTTTCTAGAGTCAAACTTCTGTCCTATTAAATGAAGCCATTAAATATACATTCATATATACTTATATAATAAATACTATTCTTTGAATAGTCTACTGTATTATGTTACCTTGGAGTATAATTTCATATATACATTCTGTTTCTTTTGTATGTTACAAAAAAGTAACATAAAACAACAAATGTACGAATTCTATGTCGTATGTTCATCAACCTTGAGACATATTTAACAAGCGATAAATATTTCTCCAATAAATCAAATCTTTTTTTGTTGTATATGAAAGACATTTGTTTTGTTTTGTTTTTATAACATTGTATGTTAAGTACAACAATGTGAACAATTTATCGATGCGATTCTATTTGCTTTGTAAAGATAAAATGAAAGAAAAGTAAAAGATAATACAAAATTTTTAATTTTTAAACTGAAAAAATTTCAGAAAATATCGATGAATTGATAAAATCAAGTTCATCATAGAAAAATTTGTTACAAAATTTTATTTTTCTAATTTATTCTGTTTGCTCCCCAAGGACTATTACCCGGTTGCAGTTAACGTGGATATGCTGGTTGATATTGTTGTGGAGGAGCATAATAAGCTGGTTGAACAGGTGGTGGAGGAGCATAATAAGCTGGCTGAACAGGTGGTGGAGGAGCATAATAAGCTGGCTGAGGTGGAACCATGTAGCCTTGTTGAGATGGGTGTGGTGGTGGACGACTCATATAAATTTGTGCAGGAGTAATTGGCGGTCCTAATGGCGTATTATTATTTCTTGGTACATTAGGTCCTACTTGGTGATGTTTTTTAATTTTTCTTAAACATTCGAAATAAATAACTAAATAAATAACTCCAATTATAAAGCATAAACCAGCAAGACCTAATTGTATTGCTTCACAAAGAACTTTAACTTGACTTTCAGTATATGATGTAAATGGACCCCAACTATTAAATGTTTGAAAAAATGATTGTCGAAAATTATAACTAAATATTGTGGTTGATACAGCATTGTCAGCACATGATGGTGTTAATATACATGTGGTAGGTCGAATAAGAAAAACAATATCAAATGAAATTAATGCAGCGCAAGCTATAAAAAGAAGCATTGTAATTAGAGCAGCACGAAATGCAGATGCAGGTCCAGGTAAACATAGCCCTAAATAATAAATAAATTTATTTCGAAAAGTAATTTATAAGAATTTATTTACCAGTAACAAACAATGCTATTACGTGAATTAATGCAACTAATCCACACCATCCACCAGCAAATACATTTGTTGTCCAAAAATTAGCTGCTACACTACAAAGTTCTGTTAGAAAAAACATAATAACAGCTAAGAGTTCAAGAATAGCTATAAATGTTATAAAACATCTTGGCCATATGAGAAGAAACGTGGTCTTATTTGGATTTAACATAATACACTTTGCTATAAAATGTTTACACGAGAATAAAAACGACTGTTCCTTTTATTGTCGATAAGAATTAAACTGCTGCCGTGTAAACGTTGAAACAGTTTCGTTTTCTTTTTCTATTCAAAATTTTCTCTTTTATGCACGTTTTTTTCTTCTTACGCCTACATTGTTTGTTTTATTAGTGTTAAATGTTAAAAGTAGAAAAATTTTCATAGTTGATGTCATGAAGAAAAAAAAAATCGAAAGTACGAATAAACAGACGAAATAAACTAATCTTAAAATGCTTCTCACTTGCTACTAAGAAGAAAATAAAAATTGAGCTTTATTAAAATATGTTACTGAGAGCATGATGTTTTTTCAACAATAGTTTGTTGGAATAATACAAATTAAAGTGTTCGATTATGAAATATTTTTTTGAAATTAGAACATGAAGCATTCAATTATTTCAGATATGTAAAAAATAAAGAACACATTTTTAGACACTATTTTATGCAAAGAATGAAAGTGGGTAAGTATGTTTTCTGTCCTGTTGATATTTTATATTGGAATCAAACGAAGAACCATGATTAATAGTGTTGCAAAGATTTATTTCTATTTCTATTCTTGCAGAGTGATTCATAAAATGTTTACTATGTGTCAATTGAAACTTCTCTACCAATAAATGTAAACATAATTGTCATATTTTTCTGTTGTTCTAATAGCTGAAAGAATTATATGTAAAGTTTTTTAAAAAAATAAGGGTTTTGTTTTCTTTCGCCATATTTTATTTTATTTTTTTCTATGTGAGTTATATGAATAATATCCATCAAATGAAATCATGTTAGTTCAGTTAAAAAATAGAATTCAATAAAAAATAAAATACGCAGAAAGAAAAAATCATCTGTCATTTTATTCTATTTTTGTTAAAGCCATCATTGAAAAACGAATATCTCCGCCAGCATTGTCAATTAATTTCATTATTATATCTTTGGTGCTCTAAAAAGAAATAGAAAGATTATTTTTAATTGATAAGATTTAATCGACTCAATGTCACTTACTCGTAATAAATCAAGTGTTTGTCCTTGTTCTCCTTTAGCTTTATGTTTAATTGGATGTGGATGTCGACCATCTAATTCATAAAGTTCGTTATTAACATTAACGAAACATACAAAATGTAAATTGACATGTTCTTCTCTATCGATAACCTAAAGTTATAAATAGAATTATTCTTTTTCTTTTGAATTATTTATAAAAAAAGACGCACTTCAGATTCTCCTTCTTCAGCAATAGTATCATTGGCGGTGGCCATATCCATTGCATGTTTTAAATGTTCAGCTCGTTGTTCAGGTGTCATTAATTTTGTTGTTTCTAAAAATTGAGCCAATGGTTTATGTGCTAAGAGCAAAACATTTTAAATGAAATATTTTTTCTTATGAAAAATTTATACAATCAAGTTGAAATTTTTCAAGATTATTTGCAATTGAATGAATAACAGCAATGGATCCACATGCATTTCCAATAGTTTGTTTTAAAAAATAAATTGCTTGAGAATAATCCGGAGGTGTATGAGCTGCTTCTTCGAATTCTTTTTGACGACGATCTTCATGCTAAATTTATTTACAAACAAAAAAATATATTTAAGAAATGAATTAATTTCGATTATTTTACTGCGTCTGTTATTGGAAATATTAAAAGTACAGCTATAACAGGTTGTGGAATGAAAGCAAGAAGTTCTTCATCAAAACCAATGATTTCAACAAATTCATAATCATCATTCTTTACACCTAAATTTTTTATATATTTATTTAAAACCTAAAATGAAATTCATAAAGAAATAGAATTAATAAAATAGAATTTAATTACTTCTGGATTTCCTTCTAAAGGCATCCAACGAGGTTTTGGTTGATTTAGTTCACCAGCAGTAGCTGCGGCAACACTAATCTCGGCACTTGTAGTCATTTGGAAAAATAATACTAATAAAAGGATTGAAACCAAAAAAGATATGATATGATTACGAACAATAGATGAAAGAATAAGAAGGCGTAAGAGGATGATTTCAATGTATTCATTGACTGTTTAAAATAATCCAATAAGAAATAGAATTAATATACATGAAAAAAAAGTTTTTATCAAGATAGTTTTTAGATTTTCTAAATTTTCAATCAAATAAAACTAAAAATCAACTAATAATAGATCTAGTAGATGTCACTAGATACAGATATCCAATAAAATTTCCTTGTTAATGAATTGAATGGAGTAATTGTGAGTATGCGCTAAATTAAATTACTTAAAAAACAATTATGAGATATATATATATTATTCGCATGAAAAGTTTCGAACTATGAACTATGTTAACGTTACATTAGATATGAATGCATAGAAAATTGATGACATGTGTTAATCTTGTAAAAAATACTTTGATATAAATATTCTCTTATCAATTATGTTGATAATAACTTTTAATGAATAATGTTCTAATAAATAAATATTTATTTTTAGTAACACAAGGTTTTTAAAAATATGTTTACTAATTTTATCTTTCTTTTACTTTAATATTATCTATATTTAGTACAAGCAAACATAAAAAAAAGTATAACGATAACAAACAAGTTTATAGACATTTAAAACAACAATAAAAAAACGTTAAAGACATATCATTTCTGTATCTTATTTGAAAATATAAGACACAACTATGCTTTCTCTACATTCGTGTAGTCTTCTACTCATTATTTTTCTTTGGTCAGCTGTTAATAGTCATTCATTATCACCATTCGATGTTCGTATAGATCATCATAAAGTTGATACTACTCATGATTTAATTATTAATACACCAAGACCACAATTTTCATGGAAGATTCCCAATTCGAACAATACTTCACATAGAAATATTGAACAAATTGCATATCAAATTCAACTTGAATCAACTAAATTATCACCAAATGATAAACAATTTCATTGGGATAGTAAACGAATTGTATCATCACAATCAATTCATGTTCCATATACTAATCAACATGATCTTTTATCATCAACATATTATCAATTTCGTTTACGTATTTGGTTATCAACATCAGATGAAGCAAGTGAATGGACAAATTGGATTCAATTTCGTACATCAATGTTTAATATACATGATTATATAATAAATAATGATGATCTTCTATGGATTGGATCAACAAAAATTAATATGAATGAATTTCGAAAAGAATTTCTTGTTCCAAATACTAGTCCTATTAAATCAGCTATTGTTTATATATCTGGTTTAGGATATTATGAATTATATCTTAATGGTAATAAAGTAGATCCAAGTCGAAAATTAGATCCTGGATGGACAACTTATGAAAAACGTACTCTAATTGCTTCATTCGATGTAACAATGAATATTACGGTTAGATATATATTCTTTTTTATTCTTTGAATGATTATAAATCTGTTCATATATATATAGGCTGGTATGAATGCTGTAGGAGTTAAATTAGGTAGTGGTTGGTATAGTCAAGAGCAACAACATGGTGAAATAAGATATGGTAAAGAAATCTTTAAAAAAAATAGATGTTTTTTTTTCTTATCTGTAAATGATCTATGATAAACTTAGGTCCACCTCGTTTTATTTTTACTTTATTTGTCTCATTTGAAAATGGTGAAGAAATGCAAGTTTTCAGTGATCAATCATGGATAGGTCGTGAAGGTTCAATTAAACATGATAGTGTTTATAATGGTGAAATATATGATAGTCGTGGTGATCGTCCTGATTGGGCTAAAGTTGGTTTTAATGATTCGTTATCAGCTTGGACCATACCTGAATCATTAAAATCACCAATAAATGTTTCAAAGAATGGTATTATTGTTATTCAAGATATGCCTCCAATTCGTGCTGGTTCTGATGCATTACATTTTGAAGTATTAGTTGATAATTATCAACAAAGTTATTTAAATCATGATGATATAGGTGAAATTAAAGGTGCATCATTAACTGATGGAGGTATACTTAAACCTATTGATATATGGAGATCAGATTCAGGTAAATATTTTATTGATTGAAAAACGACAATACTCTAATATGTATTACGTATATAGGCGTTTTAACATTTGATCTCGGTCAAAATATGGCAGGTTGGTGTCGTTTAAAATTTCATGGTCCATCTGGTTTTGGTACTTATATTCGTCATGCTGAAGTTATAGCAGTACCAACTATTTCATATAAGTACGAAATAACTTTTTTTTAAAATATGTTATTATGACAATATATATTTCAGTCATGATACTCGTAACATTTATACAGAAAATCTTCGTGAAGCAACAGCATCTGATACATATATTCTTCGTGGTGATCTTCTGTTTGAAGTTTATGAACCAACGTATGATGGTTTTTTTGTATAATTTTTTTTGATTTTCTTTTTTTTGCTGTTTAGTTTTACTGTTCATGGTTTTCGTTATGGATCTATCTTTAATAGTCCAAACGCACTGACTGTGCATGATATTGAATGTCCTGTAGTACATAGTGAAACAACATTAAAAGGACATTTTACAACAAGTAATCCTATTGTTAATCAAATTCAACATAATATTCAATGGGGTCAATTAAGTAATATTATGTCTTTACCAACTGATTGGTATATAATTATTAGAAGAATAAATAATTTGTTTAATTATATTTAAATTTTATATTCTAGTCCACAAAGAAATGAGCGCAGGGGTTGGATGGGTGATGCTGCCTTAACAGTTGATGAAGCTTTATATAATTTTGATTTAATAAAATTTTATCAAAATTTTCTCAATTTAATTGTTGATGTTCAATTAGATGATGGTGAAATACCTGATTTTGTTCCTGGTCGTAATTATCCAGCTGATCCTAATTGGGGTACTGCACTCCCAACAATAACATGGCAACTTTATCGACACTATGGTGATATTCATATTCTTGAAGATTATTATGATAATGTTCGTAATTATGTTGAATATTATCGTGGTTCATATAATAAAACAGGTCTTATCAATTTTTTTTGTCGATATGGTGATTGGGTTCCACCTCCACCATATCCACAATCAAATGCACATTTAATATCATCATTTGCTTTTCTTCATGATGTTTATATTTTACTTAATATGTCTCAAGTACTTGAACGAAAGAATGATACTAATATGTATTCAATGTTATATCAACATCTTACTGAAGAATTTCATAGTGCATTTTTTAATAAAACATCAAATTTTTATGCAGATGGAATGCAAGCAGCACAAGCATTAGCTTTAGCATTACCTGGTGTTGTACCAGCAAATGTACGTGGTGCAGTTGTTGATCATCTTGTTAATGATATTAGTCAAAAAGGAAATCATGTAACAACAGGTATTGTATCTACAGCTCAAATTTATCCTGTTTTATCTGATAATGGACATCATGATTTGGCACTTGAAATGATATCTTCAACAACATATCCATCATTTGGTTATATGTTTACAAATCCTTATGAAAACGCAACTACTCTTTGGGAATTATGGGATTCAGCAGTTGATGGTCCTGGAATGAATTCACGTAATCATATTATGTTCGGTAGTGTTGGCGCTTGGTTTTATTCACATTTAGCTGGTATTGATCTTTCATTATCAAATATAATTACTATTCGACCTCGAATGGCATCGGAAAATAAAAAACATCTTATGAAAAAATTAGATTGTCAATTGAGTTCATTATATGGTCTTATACATATATCATATACTCGTGATGAACGTGATACAATTGATAATTCGATTTTACTTCGTGTTACTATACCACCAAACACACAAGCTCATATTATGTTTGAACCATTATTTGCTGGTGGACAATGTGCATTATTGATCGAGGGCAATCAAGTACTTTGGTCATCGGATAGTTCTACTACAATTCATCGACAATTTAATGTTGAAAAAGATTCAATAACAGGTTTAATGACTGTTCATGTTGGTTCAGGTCAATATGAATTTCTAGCATTATGGAAATAAATAAAATTTTTTTTCAACTGAACTAAATATTATAATGAGTCTTTTTTTTGTATACATGTGAATGATTTTCTATTAATTGATTTATGACAAATAAAAAGCTTAGACATTTTTTAGAAAAATAAATAGCAATAAACTTTACGCAAAACTTATTATTCCTTAAAATTAAATATGCAATCAGTTAGAATTCATTCTTCTAATTCTATCGAAATTGCTACACTATTGTATGGCATTATACATTCTTGAATCTCAAGCAACAACATAAAAAGAAAGATATTGATATTACAAGTAACTTTATATCTGATTATCGTAGTTGGTCTAGATTTCAGACAAACTAGCAGGAAACTGATGATTATTCCTTGAAAATAATAGTAATGTTATTGTCCAAAATAAAAAGACAAAATATGTAGTCCTTCAAATTAAATTCAAACCACGCATACACCCTCAAGAAGTTTGAATATTATTCGTAAACAATGCTATAACAGCATTCATTCCCTGATTATATTTAGAAAATAAATTAAAATTAAAAAAAAACAGCGAGTGCATATTCTAGTCATTGATATCGTAGTTAGATTTCATCACATATTATTCATCTATAACATCACAAACGAGTATCCGAAGATGAATTGTTTTGAAACCAGTTATCTCCTTCATAAACAATCCATTCACTTAAACATGTAATAAATTCTTTAGCATAGACTTGATCAACCCATTTCTTAGGTAATTTGTCGTAACCATAGTAAGCGCCAGCTAGTTGACCATAAATAGCTGCTGTTGTATCAGTATCATCACCCAGATTAACTGCAGCTAAAGCACCTGTTTCGAATTTGCCCTCATCAATGGAAAAAGCCCATAAAGCAGCTTCAAGACTATCAACAACAAAACCTTTTCCTCGAATTCCATCTACATAACCTTTCTTCTTATTATGGTAGGACCCTTCAGCAATTTTCTTAATATCTTCGTGAAGTGGCTCACTACCAAACCATGATATATGCTTTTGGTAAAAATGCTTATCTAATAACGCCGTTTTTGGTTCACCAAGAAGAGCAGCTACGATAAGTGATCCATAAAAACGACATGCATCATAAACTCTTTTATCTCCATGAGTTATTTTACCACTAATACCTGAGTATTCGACGGCTTTAGCTGGATCTTTATGAAAAAAGAGTGGTACAGGTGTAAGACGCATAAGACCTCCATTACCAGCAGCTCCAGGATCACTACAATATACATTAAACTGACTTAAGATACTTTGATCATCAAGAAAATCCATGTCTCGATAAGGAATGTTATGTTTCATGCTAAATTTTTTTTGACGTTCTTCAAATTCAAGTACTGATTGCCTCGTTGCAGCACCAATGTCAAAACATTCACCCGTAGATGACATATAACCATGTCTATACCACCATTTATAACGAACTAATTGATCATATGCTTGAAAATCACGGCAAACAACTAGTGAAGTTGCCAAACACAGAGCCATCGAAGTGTCATCGGTGAACTAGATCATAAATAATAAAGAATTATTAAATGTGACTGCTCTCTGAATGATAGTAGTTTCTAAATTTCATTCTTTATTTTTTATTTTTCTCGATAAATCTCGTTATAATCTACTCAAAAGTAATATTTACGGTAGTAGAATATTGGAGAGTAAAAATTGATTTTTCAGTTATTTATAGACGTTTTAAAATCGTTGAAAGTTGTAAATATTTGTATATAAAATATGCTTAATTAAATTTTCATAAATACCTGTCCTTTAACGAGACCCCATGTCCCACCTTCTTGTAGATCACTAACAGGATGTTCACATAGATATTGATACGGACGGAATTCTACATGAGCGCCAAGAGCATCACCCAAGGCTAATCCTATTAGAGACCCTAGAATACGATTTAAGTCAGTTTTATTAACAGCATTTGGTGGCTTTAACATCATAGATTTTATTTCATTAGGCTTCATAATTCTTGTACAATCTTTGTCATGATATTGAATATCAAACCAAGGTTTATCTAAATACATATTATATAATTAATAAGAGAAGTCTTTTTATAAAATATTCTTGTAAAAATAAATTTTTCAAATAAACCTAATGTTGTATAATATCTTAGAATAAATTAATACTATTCGTAACTAACCTGTATTTGAATGACGAGAAGGAATTGGTGGTTTTAACTTTATTTCATTCTTTGTAGTATTAGCTATAATAGGGTTAGACTTGGAACTTACTAAATATTTCAAGAAGTTAAATAAATAAAATATCAAAGAAATTCTTACTGCATACTCCTCCCATATTATTGTTTTATATTTCAAAGTTTTCAATTCTAATACTAGAAAATAATTAAAATTACGTTGTATAAATAACAAATTGTCTTTGCGTTCTTTCTTCTAAGAATAAAAGAATTGTCGTATTAAATTTCTTTTCTGACACATGCTATTTATGATGAAGAAAAATGTTTGCTTTTACACTAGGCAACCAAAAATCTTAGTCATAAGAACAAAACAATAAAAAAACACAATGTCATTGTTAAGAAGCAAAACAAAATCGACAAATTCCTGGAAAAATGAAACAGGCTCGTAATAAGAAAAAACAAGATTTGTTCCATATTTCAGTCGATACAATTATATTCACTGGGTAAAAAGTTGCAGATATCACTAACTGAATGTATATTTATGAATTTATTTTATATAAGCGATGTAAGCAGTAGATGAGTTTGAATAAACTTGAGAGTATGAGTGTGGGTTAGGAACAGATAGATATAGTCACACATACATCCCCACTCACCCTTCGCTTCTTTTTGTAGAAATCTTTATTTTTTGCCAACAGAATTTTTATTATGCGTTCATACATAAACTATGGATTGTTTTTTTACATCTCATATAATCATCTTACTGCGGACATGCGGGTATGAGTACGTATGGAGGATAAGGATAAGGATGAGGATATAGATGAAATAAAAGATTTGGCAGCCAAATGTCGAAAATAAAATATCGACAACAAAACGTCGACCAAACAAATCTTGAGGGTGGGTATGGGTGTGAGTATCCCTCTGTTTTATATCTACATCCATCCTACACCCACACCCTGATGTCGACGTTTGACTACTTTCCCAAATAAAATACCTTCACTCACTCATCCAAACCGACACCCTCAAGTTTGACAGAATCTATTCTGTAATAGATGACTATGAAAATCGTTCACATTATTTGTGAATATTTCAGTCCTAGATCTCATCTTCTTCACAGAATTTTTCAGTAATATCGTTAAATTGATTATCTACATATCGTTTTATACACAAAATACTTTTTCTAGAAAATTTCTTGTACAATGAAGATAATCTCGATGAAATTAAACAACTATGAAATAGCGACATCTGTATATGACATAAATTGCATCATAGATGATTGAGGCCTTGGATTTTCTTCTAAATAAATGGACTCATTTGACAAGTAATATTATTGTTCAAAAGAAGAAAAATATAATTTAGAATTCTTTTATAATTTAATCGATAATTATAATTTTTATTGAACATCTTATAAAAATCTAAAATTAATTACAATGAGTGAAGATAATTTTATATCAAATAGTTTAAGTGATCGAATTGATCCAAAACGTGTTCGATACCCTCATTGTATTGTTTGGACACCAATTCCATTTCTTACATGGCTTTTTCCATTTATTGGTCACATGGGTATTGCACGTACTGATGGTGTTATTAGAGATTTTGCAGGACCTTATTATGTATCAGTAAGTTAAAGAAAATTTTAACTTTTTATATTAATTTATAAAAAAAACAATATATTTAATGTAGGAAGATAATATGGGTTTTGGTCGACCAACACGATACTTACAACTTGATTTGAATCGTATTCCAACAACACCAAATTCTAATAATGTCCATGGTGTTTGGGATAAAGCTGTTGAACAAGCATCAGGGGAATATAAAAAACGAATGGTAAATTAAATAGAATTTCAATTGTATATTAAAATTATTTACTTTTTTTTATTTAGCATAATTTATGTTGTGATAATTGTCACTCACATGTAGCTATGGCATTGAATACAATGAACTATGATCGAAAACATTCGTATAATATGATTAAACTTTGTTTTTGGATGTTTTTTCGAGGAAAATTTGTTAGGTAAATTATTTATCTGAATTTAGTCTATTTATTTATTTATTTTCTTTATTATTCAATTTAGTTTCATTGGTTTTATTTTATCTTGGTTGCCATTTCTTATAATTCTGACTGTTTTCTTCGGTTTTACCTTTTTTTTTAAAGCTACAAAATAATATTAGAACGAACAATCTTATTTATATATATATGTATTAACTGTTTTTGCATTTAATATTGATTAATTTTTTCGATTCGAGTTCTTTCAAATACATATTATACACACGATGTAAATAGTGAAATTACCTTCCATAAAATAAATTCTTAAACTGAATTTTTTATGTGAATATTTACTTGCATGAAAATCTAAATATCTTTCAACCAATAGAATATTCTTCATTTATAAAAACAATACAATATTACAATGAATCGAATTTCATATCTGATATGAATGAAATTAATTTCAGTATCAAAGTTTACATAATATTAAAAAATGTGAATCTAGATTGTGATATTGAGCTTTCCGTTTATAAACCCGAGAAGCACTTTACTTTTTTGATGAAATTATAATTTTTAGTTTTCTCTTAAAACTTTAGAAACAAATTACTATCATCCGAGAGAAGGGACCGAGAATCGTTACCAATACCTTCTTTCAAATAGAAAAGGTCATAGGACTTTAGCTATCTTGGTTAAGAAGTTATAAACAGTTCGTATCGCAAGTTACGTTCATATTCTCTTAAAAGTTTCTTGTAATAAATACGGTTCTCGTAATAATAAAATTATGTTTCCAGTTACAACTTTTACACATATGAATCAATCTGATTTACCATTTTCTATCTATATAGATTTCATTAATAATAGTAATAAATTCTATCTTATGAAAATTTTCATAATTATACTCATTTGTAAAATTGTATTCTAACCTTCATCTAATGAATTATCGTAATAAAAAAATTTCGAAAAAAGCATTGATTAATAATCTATGTAAATATCATGTATTCTTTTTATTGAAGGTAAAAGTGATTATGTTAACTTGCAAACCAAATGAATATATATATCCATCGTTTCTCTTCTTTTATTTCAGTTAAAATTCTATATGATTCGAAAAGAAAAGAAATTTTCTTGTCTATAGAAATGATGAATGGTGTATTTTCTTGCTTGTCTAATATCGTACAACATGTCACATATATATGTTAGTTAAGAAAGAAAAGAAACTGGCAATCTACTAGTAAATATATAAGCATCTTCATTTTTGTTCATTTCTATTGGCAACGTGTCATTCTATTCATCATTCGAACTAGTAAGTGTGAAAATAAACAAATCAACTTTTCATCTATTAATCCAATTTAGAAGGTCAAAAGGAAATCAATTTTGTTGTTTTAACATCTATAGACAAAAGAGATACTAAGACAATAAAAAAGATCAAATTCTTATTAGAAGTAAAATAACTGTACTTTTCATAATTTAATTTGTTCAATGAACATTTTATTAGATTTAGAGAAGAAATATACTCTTGAGAACGTTAATTTATTTTTTGTAAATTCAATAAAATAATATCCTGTCTTTTCATTAGACTTATAATCCATTTCTCTCTCTTCTTCTCCTTTTTTTTATTCTTATTTAACTAACGAACACGTGGGATAAATAAAACAATGAATCATAATCAAATAGCAAGACAACTTATTTTTTCTCTCTCTCTCTCTTTATTTTTAATTAAATGTCTATATAAAATCTAAAATATTGTTTTTCCTTTTTTTTTTGAATTATCAATTGTATAATTTCGTGAGTGTTAAAGATTATCTTAATAACTGAATATGTCAATATAGCAAAATGACTTGTTATGTTGACTTGGTATTGTATAGAGAAGAGATATATATAGTCATTGCTTGTGAAATGAGAGATCAACTGACTACACGTGCTTGGGAGAAGAAAAAAAGATAAAAGCTCTCTTATTTGTGCACACATAGACACATATATATATACACACACATACATTCATCGTCGATAGAAGATTAGACCAACACCATCACCAACACCGCATACCGACCGTTAAATAACGGCGGATGTGAGATGAAGATTTTTTCTTAATTTCTTATTGTAATTCGAAATTCGATTTTCAAAATTATATTATTATTCATTTGATTTATTAGTTTTTTTTCCAAGTAAGATATTTTTTAAATAAATATGAAGATAGATAGATTAAATTAATGAAGAAGAAGAAAAAAAACCCCCATATTTTGATTTAAATTGATAAATGAGATGAGAAAGAAACAGGTGCTTATGGCATCGAACACACTTTCTCATATTAATTTGTTTTATGGATGAATCGATTGAAATATGATTTGTTTTATTTCACCGTCGATTTGTCTTGTGGATTTTTTTTTCTTCTTTGTCTTATCATCGAAATTGAAGATCGATTGAAACAAAAGAAAAATGAGAGAGAATTACTTTTTGGAATATTCGTCATTATTTTGTTTGCTCTATGTCATCATATATATATGCGCGTTTGAAGTTAGTTTTATCGTTGTTGAGTACAAGAGAGATGCCTTATCTATATCTGTCGATGTCGGCATACGAAAAAAAAATATATATGTGAGAGAGAGAGAGGGAAAGAAAGAGAGAGAGACCACCTTTTCTTTTGTTTTACTACCTTTTCTCTCTGATTTATAATCCTTATATTGAGACAGAATTGGAAAAAAAAGAGAGAAGAAAGGCAAGAGCAGATGGCTTTTATCCTTGTAAACTTTTAATATGATATGTGTTTCTAGTTTGCTGTTATTGTAATCCATGGATATTGAAACAAATAAAATTTTATCTACACATATTGATCAAGATTTATCGAAAGAAGATTCATTTATTGATTCAAATAATTCCAATGAAGAATCATTTAATTCTCTTCCTCATCTTTCACCATCAAATATTATTGGAACACATCCCAATGAAATTATAACAAGTATTAATCCCGATAATGGTTATCCTGTAAGACAAGAAAATGGACAACGAAAAACTGGACCACCACCAAGTAAGTTATTTTTCAACAATTCATATATTATTTAACTATAACATAGACTATTTCACTTCATTAACACTTTTTTTTTGTTTTATTTACATATCATTTATTTCATATCTATCAAACAATTGTTTAATCATTGATATCTAACGTTAGTGTGATATATTCTCAATTGAATAGATAATTCCTATTGGTTATAATACATGAATGATTGATAATTATTAAAAATAGGATTTTTAGGACAATTATTTGTTTGTCTTTTTTTAGATTGGCCAACAACTTGTCATCCACCTGGTCGTGGTTGTGAAGTATTTATTGGTAAATTACCTCGTGATTGTTTTGAATCGGAATTATTTCCATTATTTGAACGTTGTGGACAAATCTATGAAATGCGTTTAATGATGGATTTTTCTGGTTTTAATCGTGGTTATGCATTTATAACATATACATGTCGTGATGATGCTAAACGTTCAGTAAAAGAATTAAATAATCATGAAATTCGTCCTAGTCGTTTGATTGGTGTTTGTCAATCTGTTGATAATTGTCGATTATTTGTTGGTGGAATTCCTAAAACAAAAAAACGTGAAGAAATTCTTGATGAAATGTGTAAAGTAACTGAAGGTGTTGTTGATGTTATTGTTTATCCAAGTGCACATGATAAAACGAAAAATCGTGGTTTTGCTTTTGTTGAATATGAAAGTCATCGTTCAGCTGCAATGGCAAGAAGAAAATTATTACCAGGAAAAATTCAATTATGGGGACATCAAATTGCTGTTGATTGGGCTGAACCAGAAACCGAAGTTGATGAAGATGTTATGGCAACTGTAAATATATATCAAATATTTTATTTATTTATTTCTTTTATTTAAGGTTCGAGTACTTTATGTTCGAAATTTAATGATGAGTACAACTGAAGAACAAATAAGAGAAATATTTGAACGTTTTAAATTAAATTCAGTTGAACGTGTTAAAAAATTAAAAGATTATGCATTTGTTCATTTTAAAGAACGTGATGATGCTTTACATGCTATGAATCTTATGAATGGTATTTTTATTATTTTTATTTTCGTTTTTTTTATTCTTCTATTTCATTAGGTCGAGAAATTGATGGGTCACTTGTTGAAGTTACATTAGCAAAACCAGTTGATAAAAATCAATATTTTAGATTTACACGTGGTGTTAGTCCATCAACTATTACTGCTAATTTACCAGTAAATTTTCTTCTAAAATTTTATTTTATTTTTTTTACAAATTTATTTTAGTTTGGTTTACAAACTGGTACTCTTGGTCCAACAGGAACATTCGATTTAACACAACATTTAACAGCTATTCCATATTTAACTATTCCAACAGCATCATTACCTACAAATCAAACACAAGTAAATAATGGAACAACAGTTCTTTCAAATGGTGTTAATGCTCTTCAACAAAAGTAAGTTTATTTATTCATTATAAAAAATTATCCTTCATTCAGTTGAATTTCGATTATTTCTCCCAAAGTTAGCAATAGTATGACTTGTTTTTCTTTATTTAATAAAAGCCTATTATTATTTGATTTATGATTATTATTGTTTGGGGAATAAAACAAAATATATAAATGTTGAACGACAGTATCCAAAAAAATATAAAACTTTATTCTATTAAATTGACTATATATACATATATTGATGTTTATCAACAAGAGAAAAGTAATAAAATAAATTTGGTTAGTCTATAGATAAAATTTGTATTATTATTAGAAAAGGTAAATATGTTCACTTCACCTTTTCTAGTTGGTAAATATGATTGAAAATAGAAAAGAAATCATAATTTCAATGTTTCATTTAATATCAATATTAGTATAATGATGAACATCAGTATGTGTAGTTCGATACACTTACTTATAGTTTAGAAATGAAGAAATGTACATCCTTAATTTAAGTGTAGCAACCATAACTGAAGTATATATTTCGAATACTACTGTCAAGACTGTAAAATTTGTTTGATACGCTCAACGATGTATTTTTAATCGAAGTTATTTCTATTGATCGAAATCATTTTTTTTTCTAATAGAAATATTCGTCGATGTATAAATGCAACTGGTCGTTTATCTACAAGTGATAATACAAGTCCTCCATCGATAAATCGTTCAACACCTCTAACACCAACTGGTATTCTTTCTTCTTCATCACGTCCAAATCATCCATCTCCATCTATTGTTCATCATCGTGGTGCCTATTATACAATTCTTCGACCCACAGCACGTCGAACAGACGTATGTTATATTTTCATTTCTAATATATCTATAAAGAAAAAAAAAATTTTTGCATGTATTATTTTTTTTTGTGTGATTTAATGCTCCGCATGGCTCAGTTGATATTTTGTTTTTTGTTGTAATTTTCATCATAGGAGAAATGTCTCGAAGATCTTTACAAAGAGACTTATGATGCTTTGTACGGCTCTGCTGCTAGTATTGCCACTCCACCGATAATGATGATCGAATCCAATCAGCCTAAGTTTATTTTACCAGAACAACAAACTTTGCAGCAGCAGCCGACTCAGCCCGAAGAGGTAATTTTCTCCAGGGCTTTTGTTCTTTGTTTTATTTTGTCGCAAAATTCTTTTTTTATCTAACAAAAAAAACGAAAAAAAACTTATTTTCAGCGTTCTACAGCTGCGTGAGGAGAGTAAGAAAATAAAAAAAAACAAACAAACAAGATTTTCTTTAAATTTGATTTTCCTGAGAAATATTTTTTTTCTCTTTAAAAGCTTCTTCTATAATAATGCTAGATTATTGGGTATTGATCAATTTTCAAATCAATAAACTGAATATTCCTATCATTGCTTTTCTTTTTTTTTTTTTACAAACAAATGATTTAAAATAGATAAAACATTCCAATTATAGAAGAAAAACAAAGATATAATGCATGTTGATTAAAATTTATTATTTTGCTAAATATATATTTATTTAAAAAAAAAACTATGAAAGTTAAATCTAGCTGCACGTTATTCTTTTTAAAATTAATAATTGATTAATTTAATATAAAACTTTAATTTGTAAAAATAGATTCCATTTGGTCCAGCAACACTTGGTTTTCATCCTGGTGGTCAATTCTTTCAACCAGCAACAATTTTACCACATCCATTACTTGCAACACATCCAGCAGGTAATCCATCATTTGCTCAACAACCATTTGTTTTTACTACAACGAATAATCATCCTGGTCAAGCTCAACAATATTTTCATGCACATCCACAACCAAATTTTGCTTTTCCGTTTTTTTTTACTCCACCATCAATGGGAACAAGTCCAGAATCGCCACTTTTTACTTATGCAACACCAACATCAACAACTACAGCAGTTACAGCTGCGGGTGGTACTACTTATTCAGGCTGATAAACATAATCGCATATTTACATTGCATTAGTCTTCATTTTGTTGTTTTCGACGAGAATGAGAGTGATAGAGAGAAAAAGAGAAAGATAATATTAATATGTGCGTATTTCATCTATTATTTATATTTGTTGTTTTCTTTTCTTTTTTTTTCTTCATTTGTTTGTTTGTGGTTTTTTTTTCTCCTCTTTCCTCCTCTTTCTACGTCATTATTTCTCTATAAACACATTGTTTTCATTTTGACCCGGCTGAGCATTGACCGTGGTTGGTGTGTAAACAGTTTTCTTTCTTTTTTTTTTGGATTTATCTATCTATATATATATGTATGTGTGCAAAACAAAAACCTAGGGAAAATATGTGTATGCTTGGCATTGAATAAAAAACAAAAAGACTCGTTTTATTAAAGAAAATTTTCAAAAAAAAATTTTTTTCTTCCATAAATTATAATTAGAATAGAAAAAAAATAAGAAGAGGAATGATGGTTAGAAGATAAATTTGTACGGTCTGTCTTGGGATATTTTATAATAGATTGATAACATTTGACAGATACGAATGACATAAACAACTGTTGATTGACTGTAGAAAGTTCATATTACTTAATATAGCAAAGGAATTTTATAAAAGCAATTGTTCGAGATAATTGATATCGTCAATATTGATAGATTTATTAAATTTCCTTACATAAAAAATTAGTATTATTCAATTACAATTATTGTCATACACTATTAACCGTTACTATCTTAGAATATATAAGAAACAAATTAAATATATATATTTATATCCGGGATCTGTATTATTATTATTATTATTATGATTAGATCAGTTGATATTTATTTTTTGTTAATAATCTCTAGTAAGATAAGTATTATTACCTAGTTTGAATTTTTATCAAAACTTGTCTAATTAAGATAATCATAACATCATTATACAATGAATATCTATACTTACAGATAATAAAAATCCAATATATTCTACAGAAAGATAAATGAATCATTGGACAGTTACAAGAAAAAAACTGACATAATGTAACATATTATATCTCGAAGGGAGGAAAGAACGATAATTCATGTTAGTCTTAAATTTGATGGTTATTGATTGTAAAAATCTATTCATATTAGCAAATCTTTCAGCACATTTTTTTTCCTGATAAATATAAGAAGAAGAAAAAAAACTCTATTTTTATCTTCCAAAAAAAGCTTTGTTCTCTATGATTCTTCTATTGCTTGTCTAACGATAACAACGTGCTTGTAAAACCACCGTCACTGATGTCGTATAATCACAATCACAATAATAATATCTATCGTCATCCGGTAGTAGAACCAAGGCCTCCTCCTATTCTATTCTTATTTTTCTGTTTTGTACATAGTTCGATATCATTGCGTTTCTATTCATACGCATGACAGCGAAAGAAGAAGAAGAAGAAGAAGAAGAAAAAAGAAAGAAAAAGAAGACGAAGATATTTTCCTCGTCTTTTTGTACAGATAGTAAGAAAAGAATTGCTTGCCTTTTTTTTACACAAATGCTTGTTTTTTGGCTCTATTCTTAGGAATACGAACGCGCACAATATATAGGATATTCTCTGTAAAGACACATACAAACACAGCAGTAATAACAACTGATGAATTTGTCGTCTCAGTAGTTTCGAGAAATAATAATAAAGATTTTGTATTCTTATATGAAAAAAATGAATACGACACCAAGTCCTGGCTCTTTGAGTAAAGATAAAGTAGCCAGTACGTTTGGTATACAATTGAAAAGTAAAAACACAAATAAACAACAATCTGAACAATTATCAACTTCATCGACTGCGATATCAACAACAACAACAACAACACCAACTAATATTGGAACATCAACCGTAACAAAAAATAAAACTGTGAGTGATTTTCGTTTACAAAATGAATTAAATGGTATACAATTAAATACAAATACGAATCAACATTCGACTTCATCAAGAACATCAATATCAATAGGAAATTCTCTAGAAAATTCAACAAAAAGTAAGTCAAGTATTGGACTTGCATCGATAACAACTCTTGAAGAACGACGTAATTCATTAACTACGAATGATAATCATTCCACATTATTAAAACCTGTGAAATTAACTCCATCAAATGAATCACTTTCGAAATCTTCATCATCATCAAATATTTTCTTACTATCAAAATCGCCTGATAGAATTGATAGATCCAGTTTATCACCTGCTTCGAATAGTCGACGATCAAGTATATCCTCTGTAACACATCGAAGTATTTCACCAGAACCATCGTCACTTAACCTATCCAGTATAATAAAAACATTTGAACAATCAATGTCTCCAGAACCATCTTCAATTAAACGAACAAGTATTACAAAAACAACGGATCAACCAGTATCACCAGAACCATCTTCGATGAAACGATTAAGTATAACAAAAGCAACTGAACGATCAGTATCACCAGAATCATCTTCACTTAAACGAACAAGTATTGTGAAAACAATTGCTCAACCATTATCACCCGAACCATCCTCAATGAAACGATTAAGTATAACACAAACATCTGAACGATCAGTGTCACCAGAACCATCTTCAATTAAAAGAGCAAGTATAGCAAAAATATTTGAACAACCAATGTCATCCGAACCATCTTCAGTTAAACGAACAAGTATAACAACAAAAACATCTGAACTACCAGTTTCATTAGAACCATCATCATCATCATCAGTTAAACGAACAAGTATAACAAAACCAATGGAACGACCAATTTCACCAACAGCATCCACTAAACTACAAAGTATTCCAATAACTACATCTCCTAAAACTGAAGCAGAAATTGAACATCAAAAAGATCAACCATTATATAAAAGACAACCAACAAAAACATTAGATAATGGTGCAATAATAATACATAAAAATAAACATCAACATGAACCTGTCACAACATCAACTATATTATTAACACGGTAGGAGTAAATTTATTTCTGTTATGTTTTTTTATGAGAGATTACCTTGGATTCTACACATTAGAAAGGTGACACTTATATATTCGAAAAGGACTTGTTTGTCATATATCTCTATGATTATTTAATCATGTGATTTTCTGTCGCACCTCCTCCTCCTCTCTCTCTCTCTCTCCAAGATATGTCCATTTGTCTGTCGTTAACATACAAAAACGCATTTTCTTCTCTCTGTCTGTGTCTCTGTCTCTCTCTCTCTCCCTTATTTTCTTTATACATGTCATATGATACTTTCCAATATACTGTTTTTTTCTTTTCTTTCGAAAGAAAAAAGCAACAAAGATAAATATAAAATATATATACTTTCGATATCGAAAAGCAATAAATTTGTTCAATTTGCCGTCATCATCATTTCATAGAAAAGCCTTGACCTTGGCGTATGAATTAAGCATAATAATACGACCTTTATTGACGAGCAATCGAGCGCACACTTGTATGTAATGACTCACATGAGAGAAAATCAATGTTGCAAACCAAATAAGAAAATATTGAAGGACATAGCTAGACACACGAAAAAGGTTTCATACTTTTCAAAAATCGAAATCAGCTGTTTGATGTATATATATATGAACTTGTTGATTTTCTTTTTTTTACGGTTTATCAAATATTTAAATAAATTTAAACTAAGATAAACGTTTATTACATATATATGTTATAAAATACATTTATGATATGTAAATATCGTCAAATACAAATGTCTCTTTAAATCATACTTTTTGTTTTTCGTTCTGTTTTTGCAGAGAATTATAAACTATTCTATTATTATTTAGAAAATTCATTTCTTTTCTTTTTTTTTTCATTCTTTCATTCTTTCTCTCTTTTTTTTGATACCTACACGCACATACGGTTGATTTCTCCTTCGAATAACCGACGAATACTTTCAAAAGAAATGTGCACATGAGGTTAAGATTGACACACATAAATGCACGTGTGTAATATGTTACGTATTTCTTCTTCTTCTTCTTCTCTTCTTCTTCTTCTTGTTCGTCTTTATTATTATTGTCGTCGTAGTTGATGATACCGATCAACATGGAGAGATGGCCGTTGCTGTAATAGTTTTTGCTGTTCTGTATTGAACATAAAAAGAAAAAGAGGAGAAAGAGAAAGAAGAAATATGTCATCATCAACGTTCATCCAGCGTTGGACATCCGTGAACGATTTAGCAACGACAACGAATAGTAACAATAATAAACAGTCAACTACTTTTTTTTTACGACCTCAATTTGTGCCGCCACCGCCACCGCTGTCACGTCATCCCCCAACTTCGTCAACATCCTTAACATCTTCATCAGCATCAGCATTTTTTTTACGACCTTCACAATCATTGATCTCACTAGTCGAACCATCATCACTTCCTTCAAAATTTCGATGCCAACTATCTAAAACACAAACATCTTCATCTCGTGTTGCTAATATTATTCATCAATTTGAAAGTCAAACACGTTGTTCATCAATGAGTAATTCTTCTACGAAAGTATCTTCTCCAATTCGTAGTGTTTTTGTTAAACAATGGGAAGAAACACGTAAAACTGCAAATAATCTTCGAACACCACCTATTGTTATTCTTGATACTTCTTCTTCTTCTTCATCTTCTTCTTCTTGTGCGTCACCTATTCCATTTAATTCAAAAAAAACAAATAATCAAGCTGAACCAATAATTATCTGTGAAAGAATAACTAATCATAATAGGCCAATAATACCACCACCTGTTAGTCCAAAAAGTCCTTTAGCAAAAACATGGTCTCATCTTAAATTAGTAGCACAACAACATATAGAAACAATTGAAAGTGATTCAGATTCAGCTATACATACACTTGTTACTGTATTAGAGAATAGTAATAATGATTGTGTAACATTATCACGTTCAAGTACAAGTGCAACAACAGATTCAACTTGTTCATCAACATGTTCATCAACATCACCACCACGTTTTGCTCGTCCAACAATAGCTTCAACACAAAAACAACGTCATCTTATTTCAAATTCAAATTCATTTAAACGAACAAATTCTCCTCCTTCACCAATATCAACATTTACACGAACAGTTTCGTCACCATTTAGTCCTGCTATTCTACCATTATTTTCAATTAATGAAGATCTTGAACAGCAACCATCACAATCATCAACATTAGCAACATGTTATTGTTCATCAGATATTGATACAGTTGATGAATTATGTCAGTTATCAACTTCAGAAATAATTCTATCAGATACAACTTTATCACAAAATTCAATAACTATAAATACAAATTTACCATTAAGATACAAAAGAGATTCATTTATTCGTCTTTACGGGTAAAACAAAATATAGTTATTTATTTATATTAACTAACGCTTTAATTTACTAATCACATATTTAATAAACATAAGTAAGTAAATATCTATCAATCATAGAAATAAATCTTTTTCATAATTATGTGTGAATCATTCTATTAGAATTATTAATGTGTCATAAGATTCTTTTTTTTTCTTAGACGAATTATTTCATATGTATATTTGACTCATACAGTAATCTCAAATATATGTCAGACAATACATTCTTTTCTTTTCTACTCCATACATATGATGTTTTGCTATGATATGTGTGTATCATATGCATTCTATCTAGTATTTGTTTTATTTTTCTTCTTCTTCTTCTTCGTTTCATTTTTATAATAACGAATATTTCAATTACCTAAAAAAAAACTAAGATTTTGTTTTTAATCTAGGCCTGACGTAATGCAACAACATGGTCATCATATAGCTCATGATGTTGTATTAGAAGATGGTAAATTATCTTGTCTTTAAAAATTAATTTTTATACAAATATGTTTTAGATATTGATCCACCATTTTCGCCACGTGCTGTAACAGTAAAGAAAAATAAATTAATCACTGAAGAATATGAACTTATGGAAATCCTTGGAAGGTAAACAAAAACCGAAATTTTTAATTTTTCGAAAAAAAAATAATTTTTTTTAGAGGAAAATTTGGTGAAGTAAAAAAATGTCGTGAAAAATCTACTCAACATTTATTAGCTGCAAAATTTATTCAAATCAATAAAGAACAAGATCGTATTGAAGCATTAAATGAAATTGAAATAATGAAAGCACTTCAACATCCACGTCTTTTACAATTATATGATGCTTTTGAAACAAAAGGAAATTTTTGTCTAGTTATGGAATTGTAAATATTATTATTATTCTAATGAAATTTCGAAAAAAAAACTAATAATAATTTCTTTTAGAATTAATGGTGGAGAATTATTTGAACGTGTTATTGATGATGATTTTATATTAACTGAACGTCTTTGTGAATTATATATGATGCAAATATGTGAAGGTGTTAGTTTTATGCATTCATGTAATATAATTCATCTTGATATGAAGGTTTGATCATTTGAATTTAGAAAAAAAAGGGAATTCATTTTATTTTAATTTAGCCGGAGAATATTTTATGTGTTAATCGTGATGGTCATCGAATAAAAATTATTGATTTTGGTTTAGCAAGAAAATTTGATCCAACTAAACAATTAAAAGTTTTATTTGGTACACCAGAATTTGTTGCACCAGAAGTGATTAATTTTGATAGAGTTGGTTTTGGTACAGATATGTGGTCTGTTGGAGTTATTTGTTATGTTTTGTAAGTTAATTTTTTTCAAGAAATAATTCAAAAATTAAATTTATCGTTTTTGTAGATTATCTGGTTTAAGTCCATTTATGGGTGAAAATGATAATGATACATATGCAAATATAAATCGAGCTAATTATGATTTTGATGATGAAGCATTTACGGATATATCAGATGAAGCGAAAGATTTTATTTCAAAATTACTTGTTAAAGATAAAGAGTATGAATTGAATAATATTTATATTTATATGAAGAAAAGAAATTTTATTTGTTTTAGTAAACGTCTTCCATCACGACAATGTCTTACACATCCATGGTTAACTCGTCGACCTAAATTAGTATCTACGCCAAGTGATGAAGAATCAGCTGAAAAGAAATTATCGACGAAGAAATTACGTCGATTTGTTATACGACGACGTTGGCAGGTTTGGAAGAAAATTTATAAAAATGATATCGATTTATTCACTTTATTTTATTTTTTTAGAAAGCAGTTAATGCTTTATTAGCATTACAACGTATGGGAATGACGTTGTGAATAAATGTAGGACACGACTCGATTCACTTTCTTTTTAAATATCTATTATTCGCACATATTTCCTCTTCGTTTCAATGTTTCTTTTTTGAGTCGCGCGTCTTTCACATATTGCTTATTGTATTACATATGATTATAATTATCATCATCAGTATATGATATTGTTTATTCGTTTTTTATTTTTTTATTTTTTTTTCTCGCTGTTGTTACCTGTGGTTCGATTCAATTTGTTCGCCCAGAGAATAGAGCGTGTGGGTGTAAGATTTATCTTCTTCTTCTTCTTTTCTCTCTCTTTATTTGTGTGTGTGTACATTATACTTTTCTTCTTCTTCTTCTTCGTTTTTTTTCTTCTTCTTCATTATTATAACTAATTCTGCTCTAAGACGGGAAACATCAAAGACTTATTTCGAGTTTATTTTATTGAAATCTAACCAATGACTATGAAAAGCAGATGGTTAATTAAGTTGATGATATAATAATTATCTGATGTAACATCGAAACGTAGTCAATTTTTCTCTTAAGGTAATCTATCATTGTCAAGAATGTAAAAGAGAAATGACTGATATATTTTAGTGTAACTGTTAGCTGATAATATATATCGTTATGTGTTCATCTTTACTCTTAAGGATATTCAACATAACTATGATATGACATCAAACAAAAACTATGTATAATTTTAATGAGAATATGATTTCTATCTGTTGTATGTCTATCAAGATATTAACGAAAAACCTATTAAAATAAAGAAAATGTGGTTGATAATTATATGATAGGAACGAATGTATTATATAAGTTACCTAGTGATGATTGATTCTTAAAGGATCTTTCTTACTTGCGGGATAGGATATTCTATTACATCATCATTGAGAGATGAAAATAAGATTTTAAATAATAGAATATCTGCTTATCTCACTTTTGTTGTCTATTTAATTAAGAGATGATTTTCAAGTTGAAATGACCTTAAACCATCAATTTATCTTCTTCTAACAGTCTAGATCAGACAAGAACCTTGTCCACTGATAGCATTAATTCGCGTTGAATATGATATTTGCTGATAAATTAATGACAGAAAGGAAAAGCCTTGTGTAAAATAGTTCGAGAAAACTAAATAATTTAATTTGTCAATAGTATAATAAAATCAAAGATTGATTTTTCTTTTTTTCTTCGAAATTATGTCATCAATATCAACTAAATATTAACACTACACTTCATTTACATTATAATTGCATGTCAATGTATTAAACGCCCTTCATTCAGCATAGAGGTCATCGTTTTCTTTTCTCTTTATTAATATTGAGAATATCATTCTGTAGTTTATTGATTAAAATTTCATGAATATCAAAATCCAAAAAAAGAACGAAAATTATATAAAAGAATTGAAAACACAAAAAAAAGAAAATTTAATCACACTTGTTTTGGAATATTATTGTCATCGATAGGTGTAACACTATTATCTATATCACGTTTTGTAAATTTTCTACAACATGTTAAACATGGATCATTTCCACACATTAATACATGTGGTAGACCTGCTTTAATTGGTTTTCCTGTTTCAATTCTACCAGCGGCAATTCCATATTGTCCAGAAACAGGCATCCACCATAACCATCCATCATCACGTAAATTTGCCCATAAATAAAAAACTGAACCAATAAAATAAATAATATCACCATTGTAATAAAGTGTATTTGATCCATATTGTTCTGGATGAGTTAAAATTTGAATATTATATGCTATATAAATAAATGAACTTAAAGTTGTTAAAAGATATGCAACTGTATCGGGATCATCTAATGTATAACCACGACCAATTGCTCGTGTATATGTTCGATACCATGACATTATCCTAAAAATAAATTTCAAATTCGTTTTTTTTTGTTCTTATTAAATTTACCATCCGAATGAAGCAAATAATTCAACAAAAGCTGCAGTAGTTTCAATTTTATGAAGTGCTAATGTATGATAACCAAATAAATCATCTTCTTCATATTGATACCAAATAGCACCCCATAAATATAATCCAGCTTCAATATGATTTAAATATTCAGGTATCATTATAAGATCATTCCAACGATGATCTAGAAAATAAAATAAATAATTATACATATTATTATTATTATTACCTCTCCATGCCCACCAATACAATGAAGCAGAAATAAGATGTATAATTGCCAATGCTAGAAAATTGAACTAGTTTTAATATTAATAAATTAGAATCTAACTTACCGAGATACATTCGATTGGTGATGGATATACCTGTTTCTGTGTCTCCTTTTATTATTTCAGTTGTATTTGATACTAAAAGAGTATCATTACATATACAAACAAGCTCTTCAATAACTTCTTCTGCTGACCCGTTGAGCCATGGATCATAATCAATAACAAGAATACCAATTGCATAGAAAAGATAGACAAGATTAGCAAAAAAATATCGATTATAAAGAGATTTTTTAAAACAAATTGGGATACGTTTTTTAATTTGTTGCCATTTTAAAGCTTCCCAAATCGAATCAAATGATTCTAATTCATTAAATGGTGCAGTTGGATCATTTTCTTCGTCGTCAGCCATTGAAATAGATTACTAATTATCAGAAAATAAGCATTGTTTTTCTTGTATAAATGTCAAAAAATAATAAACATTCACGTATGCAATTTGATCCAAAAGGTTTCAATTTTTATTTTACTATATAAAAAACTTCTGCTATTTAAATCATCTCAATTTTATTATCGTTAATTACAGTAAGATGTATCATAAAACGAACAGAACCCACATTCTTTTTATGTTAAGTGTTTGACTTCTCCTATTTTATATGACGGTTTATAAATTTTTACAAAAGAATTTTGTTTTTATCTTAAAAATGTACTTTCGACGGTTATTTCTACGTAAAATATTGAATGAATTTGTATTGTCTGTCAATATTTAACATAGATTATTTTCTTTCTTAAAATAATTAATGTTTTACAATGTACTTTTTCATTTCCGAAATTTCTTTTTCATATATAACTATTCTACAAATCCGATTTATACAAAAAGAAAATTTGTCTTTATCTTCTTTTGTCATAAATATACATCATTCAATAGTAATGTTATAAAAAAAACATTTTGTGTCTATATAACGAAAATTTAAAGAAATTGTTTTTTTTTATTTTGAGAAATTAAATCGATTTTTTAATAATTTTTCAGCAAGTTTAGATTTTTCTTCATAATTATTTATCCATATATCGATTAAATCTTCAAGACATTTTATAACTAATGGTTCACCAGCATGAGAATTAAGTAAATGAAGAAGAAATACACCATCACGTTGTAACCAAAAAATAAACTCTTTTCGTCGTTTCTTATCATCAAAAAAATCAATTTCATGTTCTCTTTCAATTGCTTCCGTCGTCGTTGTCGTCGTTGTGATTACATTTGATGAAATTGGTATAGGTGGGCTTAAAGTTTGTTGTTTTTTCGCTTGAATAGAATGAATAAGTTTACTAATAAAACGATAACGAGTAAAAAATGGTACATAAATATAAAATGAATAGATCAATGATATAACTGATATTAAAAATAGAAGAACAAACCAAATCCACATAGCAAAATAAATTTTTTCATAAAATATATTTATTAATAATATACACTAAAAACGAAAGAAAATATTATTTTTATTTTTATATATATATAAATTCTTACTTCAATTGTATAAAAATGATCTTGACCTAATTCTCGTATATGAAAATCACATAGTGTAACAAATGGAAATAATTGTTGATGTTGATATGATAATTCTGTAATACGTTCACGTATTGATGAATGAAATAAATATTTCATTGTATCAAAACCAAATCGAACAAATCCATATTTTCCTGTTGATAAAATTGTATCTAATAGAACAACTTGTACAATAATATTAATAATATAAATTAATTTTATTAGAAGATAAAGTATAACAAGATAATATGTATGATATCGAATACGAAATGAAATATTTGGTAGAAGAAGTGGTGAAGATGTTGTTTGATGATTATCATCAGTAACATTTCGAAGTAATAATTTTTTTTTACATTGTGCTAATTGTCTACACATTAAATATCGTTCAATTTCTTTTGCAATTCGACGACTTATTTCTGGTTTATCATCAAATTTATTTCCTTGTTCAACGATTAAACCAGGATTTAAACCATTTCGTTTATAAAAACTTATCCATAACAAATGTGGTACTATAAAAAAAAATGCTTGAATTATATAAATAAATGGTAACCATTGATAATAATGTAATGTATGTTGTAAACGTTCATGTTTATTCATTGGTAAACGTGTATAGGTTTGAGGATAAAAATATGTATTATTTAACCAACATAATGTTCGTGCAAATGATGTATAACCATCAGTAAATTGAGCTGGTTGAACACAATGTATAGGATCAGCATAAAATTGAAGACTTGTTGATGCTATTGCAGAGATAATTAATACTGTAAATGTTATTTGATAATGAATTTGATCGGATAGAAAATCTTTATGTGTATCGATTTTAAGAAGACTACGACTTAATTTTAATATTGTATCAGCCATTGTCTAAAACATAAAATATTTATGGTTAAATAAATTTCAATAAAAATATCTACATAAAGTTTGCTTAAATATTAGTTACTAGTACGTTATATAAATGTGTAAGTATATACGCGTGTATGCGTTCTCTTTCCTGTCATAAATTGTCCTTCAACATTACATGCACATCACCATGGATTTAATAGTGATGCCTTCTAGTTGTAATCACATTTATATAAAACGACAATGTCAATAGTTTTACTATGAATTGACATTTGAACAGATGTTCTATCCGATTTGTATTTATTTCGAAGAGAGAACATGGTGAAAAATAAGATTCACTTCTCCTTTTTTTTTCTATACACATCAATATGCTGCTGCTGGGGAGTGACGAATAGAAAAGAAAATGATGCTCATATATATAATTATATAATACATGCTCTTTTTTTCCTTTTTCTCTTGACGAGAGGTGATGGTGATCGATTGACGGTAGTTATATTGTATAGTATGCTGCCGCACTTATTCCTTCTTTCTTTTCGTTTTTTT